GTTTTGGCGGACGCGTTATCGTGTAGACCTGACTATGAGTTTGCTCATCTCACTGTTGTAAGTTCGTCAGTAACGGATCATAGCCGTGTGGCGTACGCGATGAGGCATTTGTTGCCATTGTACAAGCGCTGGGTAGCGCAGAGTTTGAGAACTCTAAGGGTGAAGCTGTCACCACGCAATCGTGCGAGATTACATCGTTATGCACTGACCGATGGTCTGTTGCACTATAGTACAGGGTTGGATGACAAGCCTCGTGTTGTGGTGCCTCATGATGAGGACTTCAAGTATCAGATACGTTATGAGGCTTATGATACACCACTTGGTGGTCATTGAAGTCGTGAAAAGACCTACAGGTGAGCACCTATTATTGGTGGCCCAAGTTGTATAAATGGGTTGGTACATACGTACGAACGTGTGAAACGTGTCAACGGGTGGAACCCTTGCCTAGTATGGCTGCAACTTTGGCGAGTTTTCCTGTCCCCTCGGGGTTGTGGCAATCCATTAGTATGGACTTTGTGTTTGGCCTACCGCGTGATGCGGCAGGCAACACTGGAATTGTGGTCTTTGTTGGCCGAATGAGCAAGATGGCTCACTTAGCGGCAGTGCCGGACTCCATTGATGTAGAAGGGACAGCTGAGCTGTTCATGGATCATGTGTTTCGACAACACGGATTGCCTGTGGCAATCGTCTTGGATAGAGACCCCCCGTTTTACGGTAAGTTTTGGACTTCAGTCTTTAAAGTGCTGGGCACTCGACTGGACATGTCCACGGCGGATCGTCCGCAGACCGATGGTCTGACTGAACGCGTCAATCGCGTTATTGGTGACATGCTTCGCAGTGTTTGTGCTGAAACCCCAAGCAATGGAACAATATGCTCCCTCTGGTCGAGTTTACGTTGAACAACGCGGTGCATGCCTCGACATGCTTCACCCAATTCTATGTGAATGGTTTGGTCAGCCTTCGCGTTCCTTTAACGCTACCCCCTGCCACATCAGGGCTTAGTGGGGGAGAGATAGCCGAAGTCTTGGCTGATATCAGCCTTGTTGAGATGCGCAGGAAGGTGGAAGCGTTTCTGTCAACGCTTTTTGCCGTTTACGTCGCGTCAAAGACGCTATGGCTGAAATCCAAGATGTTCAGAAAGAACATGCGGATGCCAAAGACAGGAAGAACGACTAAGAGTTCAAAGTGGGAGATTTGGTTTTATTAATCGCTAGGAATTTACCTACTCGTGCCGTTTTGGCAGTATATAAAACCAATTTAAGACCACGTTTCATTGAACCCCTTAAGGTCATAGGCAAGAAAAGTTTAGCCTATCCGCTGAACCTTCCGCAAAAGATGCGAATACGTCCCGTGTTCTACGTAGGTTCACTCAAGACATACCTCAACCCTGCCTCGGTGAATTTCGAGAGGTTATCCCCACATCCCCGACCGAAGAAGGCGGGTAGTACGGCACCGGAGGTGCATATGGACGCTGGAGGCGTACCAGGAGGTCGATATGACATCTAAGTTTGGTTTGAGAACGCTCAATCGCCGCTAAGCAATCCGAGGTCTCAGAGCGATAACGATCAAAGGATCGACGGTGTCGATCGACACGGTCATCAAGCGATGACAGGTGATACCTCACCGATGCAAGAGCATCACGCTCCAGGAGTGTCACGCGACGCTCAATCTCAGAGAGATGAGAGGTCGATTGGTCATCGACATCTTCCGACGCTGATTGATGATCTGGGCCATTTACAGCTCCACGTGGAACGTCTCTTGACTCGGCGTCGTCACCTGGGTCATACCCAATACTTGGTGAAGTGAAGGGGTTACCTACAGTCGTACTACTCGTGGGAGTATGAGGTACCCCTCCGGCAGGATTGCCCTGAAGCCGTTAACGCTTTTGACCAGGGCGGTCAGAAGCGACGACAGCTGTCGTCGGAAGCTTCCTAGCACCAGGTGCTGCGGAAGTAGGGTCAGTAGGCTGGCTTTGCCTCTGACCTTCAGAAGAAACCAATGTCGGTACATCACTTGAGTGAGAGGTACGGGCAACAGCTTCAGAAGCTTGCTCCCCACAAGTCTTTGACCTGTATGTGGAAGGTAATTGACGTTTCGCTTTGAGCATAGCGAAGTTAAAACGTAGAAGACGTTCTAACCAAACGTCTTGCGCTTTATCGCTTAATCGCAAGTTTGACAAACTTGAGAGCTTACATGCTCGTTCTACCCAACGGGTGAACTGGTGATCATCTTGTGCAGACGTTTCACCTGGTGCAAGCACCACTGGTATGCCGTTTAGTGAGTGCACGGGTACCCCACGTGACTGTCGTAGCAGTCGCTCCTGATACGTTTTCATCGTAAGCTCCTGGGGAGTAAGGAGCCGCTCACGAAGAGCAACACTATCTGCATCCTCGGAGGCCGTACGGGCATGGGACTCAATGACATAGGTTCGCAAAGATTGCGATGCAGCTCGTCGAACTTCCTCATTACGGTCCCGGGGCACAAACCCATAATAACGTCGTGAAATTGTTTGTTTGGGCCGTGTCAAAGCGGCTGCTCTGGCCTCGTCATCAAGTTGACGACGCAGGGCAGCGTCAAGAGGGTTGGTTACCTCTTCGTCAGTACCCCCTCGCGAGGGAAGTGTTGGCGCTTAGCGCAATAGGGACAAGTGCTTTACAAAGCAAGTATTATGAACACTGTAATGCTTCATAGCAAGTGCTAGGCACGAAGTGCTGTGAAAGCAAGTGTTCGTAAACACACAACAGGTATTAATACCAAGTGCTTGGTACTTAACGCTTATAAGCAAGTGTCGTAACACTATATGCATTAGCGTGAGTGCAATGCACTGTATGCTCAAAAAGCGAGTGTCGTAACACAAGGGTGCTTAGAAAGCGTTTGTGCAAAGCACGGGTGCTCAAGGAGCAAGTGTTAAAAACACTAATGCTTTGTTCGCAAGTGCAAGCACTTATTTCGAGGCAAGCAAAATGGAAAGAAAATAAAATCGATGCTTCCAATTAAGTGCGAAAAATCGTGGGTACGTCGGGTCCCACGGATTGGTGGGGGAGGGTGTAACGGGGTTACACGAAGGTGTGTATTGTACATACGCACCTGCCACACCAATGTGGTGTGGCTGTACCTTAGGTACACAAGTAGGTGATGTGACCGTACCTGAAGTACGAAGGGGGCAGAGAGCCACGTGGTCACTATACTTATTTAAAGTATAGTGACTATGCATGTTTGTATAATAATAATAGGCTATAGAGCCAGTAAATAGTGACTAGCACTAAGTATAGAGTGGGTGCTTCTATATTTAGTGTTAGAAGATAAACATAAATCAGTTTCAAACCTGCTCTATAAGCATCACTGCTTGAGCGTTCTATTCCTTCTGAGGAATCGTATCTTTGATACTAGTCTCTTTGAGACGCGGTTATAACATCCGATAGGCAAAAGCTTACGAGATAGCGTAGGAGGGTTAAGCACCCTAAGAGACGTAGAAGCTCTCTGAGCTTGTCTTCCTCTGCACATAGCGCATAAGTAGCGTGTCTACAGTAGCTCATCTACAAAGTGAGTACTCTCGGCACCTCTTTTCGAGGGGTTCTCATCGGCGTTATTGACATCCGTGTGTTTACACGCTCCAGCCAACGTGTGGGTTTTTCATCGAACGTGAAGGAAACGTCGCCACTGTCTACTTGCCCTTCAAAACCCGTCACACTATGTTTTCGTTATCTTGCTTGATCAATAAGATGCCTTGGTCAAGCGCTATGTCTTGAGCATAGCATCCTTGTTTGGCGTCCTATGCGAGCGTTCCTGATCTCCTACTGAGTGTCACCTCTGAAATATTCTGTGATATATGCTTCTTCCTGCTCGCAGTCAAGCACATACGCTTTCCTAGTTCTTGACCTGAAGCATTAGCTTGATCCCTGTTCTAAATGATGCACACGAACGCAAAAATTCTACGCTCATGCACCTGCCGCATCATTGTGGTGTGGCTGTACTTTGGGTACATTGGTGGGTTGATGTAACCATACCTAAGGTACAATGGGTTCACATCGTGGCAGAGAGCCAAGTGGTTAAGTACTAATGTTACATATGACAGAGACAGATAAATAGTGACTAGCACTAGGTACAGAGTAGGTGCTTCTACATTTAGTGCTAGAATACAAACATTGAATAAATCAGTATAAAAACCTGTATTGCATTTGTTGCTAGAGCTTAGTCCTTTGTGAATGGAAGTAGTATCTGTAAATACTAGTCCTTTGTGAATGGAAGTAGTATCTGTGGATACTGGTCTCACAAATACGTGGTTGCTTACAAACAGGAGGCACAAACTTGTAAAGCTAAGTCTTGAGAGGATTGTGAAACATAAGACGTAAAGCTCGCCAAGCTTGTCTTCCTCTGCACATAGCTTTGCTACGGTAGCTCTGCTACAGATGTAGCTGCAGTAGCATCGCTCTGCAGATGGCACCCATCAGGCATAACAGGATAGGCCTCCACTTGGATAAATGGATTGAATCGAAGAGAAATGTAGAATGGAAGTGGTAAAGATACGTAGACTGAAGGCATAGAGTAACCTCTCGTGAAATACGGACCTTCAATGATCACTTCGTAATTTACTGGTTAACAATATCTTAGTACACCGTAGCTGCAGAGTGTAGTACGACGTCTCATGTCATGATCACGAATAGCAATAATGATGTCGTCTTCCTTTAGCCAAAGACCTCATCCGTGTTGTTTACTAACACTTTCCATCGTGCATTCCTTGATATGATAGTGTTATTCTTAAAACATGATCATGTTGTTATTAGTAAAACTATGACTACATGTAGTAATACTAGCAGTACTAATACAAAAAAAGACACCTGGACCGATCACTCCTTAGCATCTATATGATCACTTCGTCCATATAATGCCTTTAGAAAGGGTTAAACCATTAGTAGCTTACCTAAAACTGAGATAATAGCTCTCTAAAATCTGATTCACGTCATTTTACAATCCAAACAGCTAAGAGTCGTTGCTACAAAATGGAGGAGCTCGACGTGCTTCTTGACGGTATTTACGTGCGTGCACGTGAGATTCAGACTGCACAAGACCCGGAGAAGAAACTACGTGAATTTCTTGACCCCGTGCGTGCATTTTTGGTGCAGAAATTGCATCAAGAGAGCACAGAAAGTGTACATTCGTTCAGTAACTCAAGCAATGGGATTACAATCGATCCAAGACCCTTCAGTTACATTAGTGGAGCTGCAGCAAAGTTTCAGAAGATGGTAACACGCTCACCATCGTCTCAGGGACTGTCGACAAGGAGAAATGGCAATAAGCTGGCTGTTAAATTGCCTCAAACGTATTTATATGATGCGGCAAATCGACTGCACGTGCTGGTTACAGGTACCAAGACCTTGTCGATTGATACAAGCAGAGAACAAGAACAACAGAGTAAAGCAGCTATTCATATTGAAGCACTTGTGGAGGACCATTCTCAGAGACATATACTTGCTAGACAATCTAGTCATATGGTACAGGGCACAAAGGTGAGAGAATGAGGCGAGAGCGATACTTGGAGTTGGCAATGACAACGAGCTACTTACTGGTTGTCGTATTCTTCTTTGTTCTTAGATTCTGAAACAGTTTGTACTAAAGACAGACAGGATTTCCACTTGTCATGAGCTCGATGTACCTCCTGAAAACATGGCACCAAATTTTAGGCGGTTGGAAGGCACACCGTTGTATGGATCTGGCCAGCCATCACTGGTACGAGGAATGCTGTGGGTATTGCTCCGAAGAAAATGCTGAGTTTATTGTTGGTGTGATGTTTCTTGCTAAGTAGGGGGAACTTCAGATGATGTTAGACCGAGTAGCAGCGGACGGATTTACGAAAGTAGTTTGGGTCAATTTGAGTGAGGTATGCAAGGTTTTACTCAATTGAATAAGTATATCTACGATGTCTAATTGCGTTGATACGTTTGACAATCATGTGCATGCAGGAAGCAGTGATTTATGTGAAAGGCAAGCCGTTTACAGCAAGACACAGCGCGATGCTTGCCGAAAGCGATTTGATTCCTGGAATTACAGGTCACAAAATTCAGGTCTTGGAGTCGTCGCTGAAGAGCAGTCTGCAGGAAGAATTAAAAGCAGCGAACAATCGCTTTGAGTTCTGGAACGAGGTGGCATTGAGAGAGCATGAGCTAGTGGTGGACAGAGCTGAGCCAGGCCACGTGATGACGTTGCCTGAACTTTATGAAAGTACAGAAGTGGCAAAATACAACGATACACTTCATAGCGTGATGTACCGGCGAATTCCAATTGAGCGGGAAAACGCTCCGGAACAGGGACATTTAGAAGGGCTGATGAGGCTGGTGGAAGCAGCCAAAGACGACAATTCTACTGCTTTTGTCTTCAACTGCCAGGTAGGAAAGCACCGTACAACGACGGCTATGGTGATTGCAAGACTGGTTTGCCAGCGGCACAGTCTGGATCTAGCTAATTTGAGGATGAATGCGCCATTAGCTGAAGAAGAGCATCCGAACAAAGGCTTTGAGGCTGGTAACTTTGCAGTTATCCGTGAGGTGCAAAAGTATCTGAAGAATGGACGGGAAGCAAAAAGGTGGGTGGATGATGCCATCAACGAGTGTGCAACGGTCTGCAATATTCGCACCGTGATCAATACATATCACGATCTGTCACTTGCTGCAGCCAAACCTGCAAAACGGTCGTATTATTTGCACCACGCGATGAGTTTCCTGGAGAGATACTTTTACCTCATTGTTTTTGGTGCATACATCATCGAGCAGAAAGACGGCATCGGAGAGTTTGCTGACAATAACACGCAACCATCATTTTCGAAGTGGCTGCAGCAGCATCCGGACATGTTCCGCATGTTGGATGATCTGGGTGGTGTGCGGTATAAATCCGACAAAGTGCTGTCTAAGTGCGTACTCAAGATGGATCACTTTTTTGGCATCGCCCGAATTCCATTCGAGTTAACGCCAAATATTCCAAACTACCGGCGAATAGCTAGTGAACCAATTTTTGGCACGGCTCAGTGTCTGGAGAACGGTATTATCGATGTGATTGAACATTTGCGTGGTGAGTTTGATCGTGCAATCTGGATTAATTTGCGAGAGGAAGCTGTCATTTATGTCACTGGACGACCATTCTGTGTACGCCACGAGGACGATCTTATGGTAAACATGGAGTACCCAGGTATTGAGGTGGACGAGATTACTGCAATTGAGCGGCAAGTGAAGCTCGAACTTCAAACCAAGGTTCAAAAAGACAAGGGACTATTTGTGTATTGGTATGAGCCTCGTGAAATGGTAAATGATGAGACGGTGGAGCATATAGATCCACTGGTTGATGTTAAGACCCTTACTGAAGTGTATAAAGACGCTGTAGAGCAAACAGGATTTGACTTGCGGTACGCACGTATTCCAGTGTCCGATGAGACAGCCCCAGAGGAGAAAGATTTGGACGACATGGTGCGTCTGCTGCTTCCGTCCTTTTTGAATGAGCTCGGACTTCAGCTTCCTTCAGATGAGACGCCATCGTTATCGCAGAAAAAACTGAAGACGGCAGTCATTTGCAATTGCCAAATGGGCCGGGGTCGCACTACAACCGCCCTTGTTTGTGTGTACATGCTTCGTGTGGTGCTCGAAGAGAGTGCGTCATCGTTACTCACACCCTCGTGCGAGACCAGTTCGCTCAAGAAATTGCTTGACGGTAGGACCACGGGCCATCGCCGCCACTCTGCTGCAATTGCAGGCGAGTTTGTAGTGATCCGCAAGCTGCTCAAGACGCTAAATAATGGATCCGATTGTAAGCTGCTGGTGGATTATGCTATCGATCAGTGTGAACACATGCAAAACCTGCGGGACTGCATTAGTCAATGCCGTGATTTAGCAATGGACCGTGATCTTCCGAGCACAAAGCGAGACTTTTTCATGTTGCGTGCGGTCAACTACCTGGAGCGCTACTTTTACCTCATGTGCTTTGCGTCGTATGTACTTGAAGAGCGTGTGCACTACTTCCAGCGTAATTTGTTTGTCACTTGGATGAATGAGCGCTATGGCAGCGCATTGTATGAACTACTGGACAATCTCTGCTTTGAGGAAGAAATTGGCGCCGAAACACACGTGTCATCAATGCGCTGGCGCTGGCGTCGCAAGCGCAAGCTTGTCTCTCGATTGGAATGAGCGGTCAAATTACAAACAAAGCTACGTATTGGACGGTCATTCAAGCTCATCAATTTATGCCATAGGTTCCTGTGCACTTTTGGAGAGAAGACGTGTGAAGCATTGAAAGAGGCTGGATCTGGCGTTTGCACTTCTAACGTGTGGTGGTCAATGCTTTGCGTTTCGTTACTCGAAACACTCGTGTTTGGTTAACATCGCAATGAGCTTTCTTCTGCGCTATATTTGCTCGACATCTGCTGCTGTATGCTTGGTCAGATACGCTACAGTAGATTTGTGTCAGCAAACAAAGGAATACATTGAGACATCAGCACAAATAGAACAGTTTTGTTCTGTGGCCAGTTACAATCTGCTTCTCACTGCTACTGCTGTTCCTGAGCACGACGCGCATTTCTGATAATATCCAACAAGCCACCGACGTTTTTCTTGTATAATTGCAGCTTCGTGTCAATTTCCTTCCATTGGTCAACACCAAAACGACGCTGCAGCGAGGACAAGATGGTCACCGTACGAGCAAGCTGGTCAATCTTGGCATTCACAAGCCCAACTGTAATTGCACGCACAACCCAATTCTCTACTTTCTCTTCTTCCACATCCAGCGCCGTCGCTACATCACTATAAGAATTTGCCTTAAATCCTGTTGGCAATGAACATAGCGTAAAGAGACGCATCGTATCAACTAGTTCAGCCTCCTGTAGCCCGTTCTCTGTAAACACATCACCAGCACTTTTTTGGAAAACGATAAACTCCTTTAGTGTTTTGGTCGATACAATATCTAGCAGCTCGTAGATCTTGTCAGTCTGAAGCGAGGTTTGCACGACCGCCAAGCTAGCCAAGTCCACACGGGCTAAGAAACTAGCCACAGGGTTTTGCAGCACAATTTTGCATGCACGCAAAGCTTGCTCCTTGTCCAGTTGTCCCTTTTCATACGTGGCCAAATACTTTTCCAGCACAGTCAGCACCTTTAACTTATCGTCGTTCCGGTCCAGCACGTTCGCTACGGCCAAAAGCAGCGCACGAAGATCGTCCACACTCACATGTTGCATATCCAACAACGTCTCTACTTGTGTCAAGTAGGGAGCCACGAGATCAATATTTTCTGAGCTCGATGCAAGCGCTAGAAGATTCAGCAGCGCCTGGAGTTGCACCTTGGGCAATGTCTTTGCCTTATTAAACAGCAAAGCAACAATACGCAGACGCAGCACAGAACTGGCTTTATTCTCATCCTGTATAGCCTGTAGAAGCTTCAGTAACTCGCTTTCAGGCTTGGGGGCTTGCAAAATGATAGTAAACAGCAAAGAAAAGACTCCCTCGACGTCGGTTTCAGCGTCTAACGCCAGTAATTGCGGCAATTTTGGACTCAAAGCTTCTAGGACAGAGCTATAATCTTTCTTCTTTATATCAGCTGGAGAAACATCAGGGAGCGTCGTGCCTGGTAATAGCTTGGAAACGTACGCGACGAGGTCCGAAGCCATGACGACGACGTATGGACTTGTGCTGGCGAGTGATTGTTTTGTTGGAGAGCCAACAATTGAAGAAATACTTGTGATTGGTCGAAAATGTAATATAGGAATACGGATAGACAAGAGGTGGCAAAAGATTTTTACTTCCAAGATATTGTAGCTAAAACGTAGTGAATTAAATCACTTGCGACACTTAAATAGGACTTGATTTGGTGCGAATTTCTATTTCTATACGACGTTTTTTTTTCATTTCTAACACTTCGTGACTCGACACATTTTTTTTCTATTCCCAGTCATGGTATCGGACGTCGTCCTGCTGGTTATTGCACTCGGTGGCCTGGCCACGACGGTGTTTCTTGTGCTGTTCTTGACTGGTTTCTTTGCTCAACCTAAAGTTTGTATTCAGATCTTCGTCCTGTGCAATTCTGGGTGTTTGATTTTCCTTATAACCAATTGAATCTGGTCATAGAAAGTAGCGGATAAACACCAAGCAGAAGTTCTTCGAGGTGGCGAGAGAGGAGGTCTCGCGGCGCTACGCAAGCATAAAGATCGAAAAAAGCGCTTTACACAGCGAGAAGAAGAAGCTATTGGTCCTCCAGCTGCCGCTGGTCCGGGTGAAAACGAGGCTGTTGAGGCTGCTAGAGATGATGAAAGATTTGTGGAACCGTAAGGAGGCTTTCATACTCGAAGCTGGGGCATTAAGACTACTATTATTGAGCATTTGGTACATTTGGGATAATTTGTAGGAGAGCGATGACAAAGAAGGAGCTGCAGAAGGAACTTAAGCGTCGAGAACGTGAAGAGTTACGTCAGGTATGATTTTAGAGACATTATGTATTAATGTGTCGACGTAGCTTTAATCGTTGGTGCTATGTATATGGTAGTTTGATCAGCAACATCGTGAAGAGCGTCAGCGTCTTGCTGAGGAGAAAGCAGCTGCATACCAGAAGAAACGTGAAGAGGAGGCAAAGATTGAACAGACGTTGGAAGAGAAGGAACGTAAATTGAACGAGGAAAAGGAACGCAAAGATAAGAAGGAGTTTGATAAGTGGAAGGATATGTTTACGGTTGAAGAACAGGGCACGAAGCTGGTAGAGGACAGTGAGGAAAGTCAAATGCTGTTACAGCAGTTTGTGGACTATATCAAGTCACACAAGGTGGTACTACTCGAAGATCTCGCGTCGGAGTTCAACTTAACTACACAGGATGCTATTGATCGCGTCGCGTCATTGCAGGCGACCAACCGTCTCACTGGTATTGTTGATGATCGTGGAAAGTTTATCTACATCACTGAGCAAGAGATGGACAGGGTTGCCGCGTTTGTCAAGCGACGCGGGCGACTGGGGTTTGCTGAGCTATCAAAAGAATGCAACAGGCTTATCCGACTAGACGATGAAGCTGACAAGAACACAAGAGTATCCCTAGACTGGCTCAATAGTGAAGATCAGCCCGAGCGATCTGTTGCTGAGTTGTCGGCATGAAGCGCACTATGCAATGAACTTGTTGTAGCAATTTAAGGCGCGACGAGTTTCTTTGTAATCGTAGGGTATGCATTTGAAATGCATTGCTAGTATGTGGAACGAGTGCAACCCGACTGCTGCTGGCTTGTTTGCATCGAAGTTCGAGAATGCATTTTGTTGGCAACACGTGGCTCGAAAATTGCTTGACGCGTTCTAATGCTGCTTTCACACCAAATTGCATCTGGAGCAGCTAAAAAATGGTCAGACCATTTTTAGCTGCTCCAGCGGTAAAGAGGTTTATTCTCTGGCAGTTGGAATCTTGGTCGAAAACGTTTGTACGAGCTTAAGATTAATCATCTTGCTTTTCTACTTAGCTGTGGTTGGCTTGTCTTCTGCTGGGCGCAACAAACAGGACTGTGGCTGCTGAAGCTCTTTCCGACACTCGCTTATAAAGTTTGCTATCTGTAATTCTTCCTTCTGCATGCCTGTTTCATTTTGATGTTTTCCTATTTTGGCTTCCATCCAATAACACACTCTGCTTTACACCGGTGTGCTGTGCATCGTGATTCGTTGTGCTACATCCTTCATATTCTTACAATTTGTCATGACAGCAAAACCAAGCGACCTCCGCTAAACACATGCAGACCTAAGTACATCTTTGTTGATCAGTTTCAATGGATACATTGCGGCTTCTACTCCATTCACTCATCTATTGTAGAAAGTATCATTTTTGTTTTCATCGCCATTCTGACTTCTGCCATTGCAACATGTCAAGTCTTTTTGACACCAAAAATTGCAGACGATCTGATAAGCTTATTACTCCTTCTCCTCGCTTTCTTTCGTTCGTTCACTTACACACTTTAGCTCATCTATCAATTGTACGTGTCACCTACCAAGAACATACGTTTCTCAATTGAGTCAAAGAGTGATAACTGTTGCCTGGCTACACGTTCGTCGTTCTCTTCTCATATGCACGGATGTTGTGCTTTTTTATCGTGACTCACAGGTTGCAAATAAATAGCACTGGCTTCAACTAACCACCATTTGCCGCATCTGACTCGTTTTTCTCCAATTTTACTGATACGATAATGAACATGGGATCCAAACGCATTCGGGAGCACAATAAACCGTATGAGTATCACGTGAACTATAGCTACCACCTTGTGTTTGCTAGCTGCTGAGAGCCAATCCTTATTCACAATCAACGACGCGTTCTGGATGCAAAGCGGCAGCATTGCCATACTGAATCACATGAGTCCAGCATGGTGCGGCAAAGTACTCAAATACAAGCATTCCAGTTCGATCGTTCTACCTATCTCCTACTGACTGCTATCCGCTTGTCGTTGCTTCCAAATCGCAATCTCCTGATTTGCTTGTACTCGCTCCTCCACCGACAAATTATAGTAGCTCTTGTTCATCTTGCGTTCCCACTACCAACACAAAACAATGTCATTCCCATCCTGTCTCCAAATCTAACAGACCTTCTACTTATTTCTCTCTCTCCCTTTTCTCTTACCTGCTTCACCTCTCGCACTGAATGTTGCGATGGTTCATACGTATGTGTAGCTTTAAACTTCTTATTATGTTTCTTCAGCAGCTTCTGCCAGTCCCTCATCTCTTTCTTCTCACCACTCATGAACGTTCTCTCCTTGCCTGATAAATTGAGCCTATTACGTGCATCCACAAGTGGTTTTCGACGCTTTTCCACAACAGCTATCTCCTCTTTTATCTCTTTCTTGACTTGAAATGGCTCGGACGTAGCTCGCATTTCCTTGACACTTGTATAGGTTTTCTTACTCTCTTGTAATTGAAGTTGCTTGTTTCGGACCAGACTACGATCTCCGCTCTTTGGACGCTCATTCTCTTTATCTCGACTCCATCGTTTGCTCTTTCTATTGATCGGCATTTCCTTGAGTTGCTGCTCCTTATCCTGCAACTTACGCACAATAGCTGCTGCTTCTCGTGCAAGGTCGGCACTGGGTTTGCTATGTTGTGGGTGAATTTGATCAAACCAGACGTCGTGTTCACCTAGTGCATGAGGAACAAATGGTGCACTGAGATCTTGAAACGTCTGCGGCGCGTCAAACTCGAACAAAACGTCGATGCCGCGAGGACGCGCCATGCTGAGAAGACACTTTGAGGCTCTCAGTGCGGAATCACAAGCACGAATGTTTGTCACGTGAAAGGACATTGAATCGTAAAGTACGAATAGAAATTCAGATTTCTATTTATTGGTGACAAATATGGAAAATAACCTGGGAATATTTGTATTTTGTTTTGTTGCAAAAATTGAGCTACTTTTATCTCTTGATCAGCGATCTGTAGAATTTTAAATGTATCAATTGCCGGGAGTGTCGCTAATAATCCGTTAAGACAGGATATCTGATAAGACAGGATACCATATAAGGCAGGCTATCAGCTAAGACACGTTCTACTGACCGTCAAAGCCTCTATGATACCTGTGCTTATAATGACATAATATTTATCAAAATACAATGCCGTTTCTATCCGATGGTTAGGTCGCTGTCATGTCCACCGATCAAGCCACACTTCGTGACCCAATTGTACTCTGAGGGTCTATTTCTTCTTCCCGCCCTTCTTCGAGTACAAATGCTTCTTGCCAAGTAAATTGCCATGACTAGCCTTTGAGCGCGGTCGAGCTGGAAGTTTTCGCTTCGTACCGGCCTGTGTTGTTTCTGCCTTGAGATCCACACGCGGCAAGTCCGTCCGTACTTTTATCTTCGTCTTGTTTTCCATCATTTCTTCGTGCTCTTTCTGTAAATGCCATGATTATTGTTAGCACTTGTTTCCTTCCACCACATCACACGCAACTAGGAGCTCACAAAGTTTGTACGAAAAGTTATCATCCGCTCCAGCTTTTCACGATTGAAGAACTTGCCCTTCGTATCGACCAAAAAGAATCCGCGCGTGTTGGCCAGCTTCAGAATAATGTTGTTTTTCGTGTTTGGATGTGCCGAGACGTATGAGATTGGCACATCAATAGGTTCGCCTAAGTTCTTTTAGAACGCGAAAGACAAAGTAATACTTAGCTACAGAACCAACAACGCCGAATAGCAATGTGTTGTCAATGCACAAAAGCGTACTCCGAAAAACTTGTGGGTCGTGAAGCGCAACTTGTCACCGCCAGCAACGACCGATATACGAGCTACAGTCCGCTGCATTACATTAACAACCACCACAGCTCTAAGCACTTGATCGTAGATGATAACCATCATCACACGCTTTTATTTACTCTTGCATGAAAGCCAATTAGTCCAGCGAGTAGAATACTCATGCCAAAACCAACGGAGGAAGCAACGTCATCCGAAATAAACGAGAAGAAAGTCGGTTGGCCCAGCACCGGATGCACTGCAGCAACTCAACCATTAAATACAATGCACTCCGTATACTACCAAAAAGTTCCATTTACTTACTCTCTACAAGACTTTGTTCATAGCCTTTGAGCCAAGACCAGAAGGCAATCTAACCCACAAAACCAATACCAAAAGTCAGTCTCGCCTACTAAAAGCTCAATAATTAACAACCACGTACATGAGCAAGAGCTCCAGCTGACATGTAGCCAAAATAACTCTGTATATGCACCACAAACACAAGCAGAAAAGACTGTCAGCGCTTCTCTCCGTCCTCTTGCTCTTGTTCACTATGTCTGCACCTTGCGTGGATATTCATACAGCAAGTCGCCGCTCAGTTGCTCCACATGCTCTGGTTGATTAGATAAAACCTTATCCCATAGCATTTTGTTGCTCATTTCCTCCTCCCCCTCGCTCTGTTTCTTTGACAGCACACTATGATGGACACATCATAGAGTTTGATTTGAGTCTAGTATTCGCTATATTTGACGCATAAGAAGAAGAGAAACACAAGTACTTGGAGCTAGAAAAGCAGATGTTGTGAATAGGATCATAGCGAGAGCGTCGGATGAGTAGCTGGAGCTGCACAGACGGACGACGCAGCACATGGAGCAGCATTATGAGAATGAATTGACTGCCACTGATGGAATTACTTCGTTGTCCGAATGAAGGATGAGTCACACCACTTTTCTTTCATCAGGTTACGATAGAATAATATAAATATGACAAATGATTCTGGACATTATGAACGGAGCTATTTTATAGATTTCTAAATGCCATGACCATTCTAAAGTCTAAAACTCTCGACTGTGCGTGCAAAGCTTATCCGGATGAAGAAGGACAGTCCGTATGTACTGGCTCAGTTTTTGTGTATCTTTCTACTGTAACATCAAGGTTGAAAGATGATGTTGACGTCGGGAATAGTGACAGCCCAGTTACTGAGCAGAGGGAAAAGAAAAGGTGGGAGTTTGTTGCGATCTTGACGTTCTTTTGTGTCTTGCTGCAAGCGGGTTCTTCCAATGGATGTGACCAAGAATATGTGACCATTTCTGCGGGTTTCTCGCAATGTAAATTGACACAATTGTATGATAGACATTCGATATCGTTGCAGCAAGCTTTTCACGACAGCGACGGCACAGACACGGACAACATACGTACATGACAATCGCAACAACTATGTCCTGTTTTCATCATTTACGGCTCTGCTCGTGTCATGTTGCTGTGTTTCAATCTCGTCGATTATCTGATATCAGTAGAAGCTTCAAGCTATGCAACACCACTTGTTTTCCCAAGGCCATGCACACAGCTCTCTGGATTTCGTCTTGGCAGCTTCATTTTTGAGCACGTGTGTTGCTTAATAAGCCTGTTCATAGTCAAATATCACAGGACAACACAGCACTGCGCTCAAAAAGCTGCAGTATTTCCTGTGCATCTTTTTAAATGTCGTTGTTCTACATATTACATAGTTTGCAAGCAAAGCTGCTTGCATCATCTTGAAACGCAGACCTCTCATCTGCATATCAAAATATATCTGGAGGTGGTGGTGGCAAGAAAGAGCCTTGAGCTCGTGGCTCATTTTGTTGCACCACATATTGCAGTCGATAATTGGTAATGCGCAGCTGCTTAACCTGCATTTGGAGCTCCTTGATCATCAGCTGTTGTGTCTCAGCCTGGCGTCGGTATACATCAACCTCACCAAGTGCCGCCTTGAGGAGAAGGTTCTGGTGTTCCGAAGCTTCAAGACGCGTCTGAAGTTCTCGCATTTCATGCTGCCAGCGCTGCATCTGCCGTTCCTGTTCCAGCACATGGCGCTTCTTCTCTTCTTGAAGTTTCCATACTTCGTGTTGCAGCTGTTTTGTCGGATCTGAATGTTGATTTGGAGTCGAATGTGGTTCCTGTATCTTGAGCGCATTGAGACGCTCGAGAGTAGCGTCAAAGTCCATGACGAAAAATTAGTCAAGCGTCGTTGCTACACCTTGTCTCTTACTATTATACTCTTAGTCTGACTACGAGTTGACTTTCGTACTTTAATAAGGCTATCCGACTACACGAGGATAACATAATAATGCTGTCAACGATGTGTGCTAAAGTGTAGCCATTACAGACTAAAGCGACTTACTGTGAGAGAAACATGTTGGAGTCAAAGGTCATTGTACAATCGACACTAAAATACAGCACTGAACTATCAGACCGATTTTGATTAGCAATCGTACTATCGACGCAACCTCCTTGTTGTCTCTAGATGACAAAACAGTACTTATGTGTCGTCACTGTCTTCGCTGAAAAAAAGCAGGTGCTTGGCATGCAATATCACTCTTTGCAGCTATTTGTGTTCGTGTCCAAGACTAACTACCACATCCACATCAAGGCGAGCACATAGTCGCCACCGGCAATCACTACTCATCGTTGCAATGAAGTGCTACACATGTCCACTATGTCATCGCCGCTACCAGACACAAACTGGAATCGCTTCGTAGACACTTGAATAGCTGGTAGCTCACAGTCACCTTGGATAGCTACTGCCGATGGGCCGAGTTTTCATTGTATCGGAGCACCCAAGCCGATGGTTGGATTGCCTCTAACAACCAGGCTGCACCGTGTACAATACCAAAACCAAAATAAATGGGTCCATGTCATCGTCCAGGGCAAAAAGCATAATCGCATGACGGTTAACTCAACATCGACCGTATGTTGCAAAAACGCAAACCGTCGGGACGCGTAGCAGTCAAAATATCGCTCGATACCGATTTTGGTTCCAAAAGCAAAACAGCCCAAAGAAAGGACTGACGACGCTCATGCACGCACTATCGCCTCAGACAATAGTAATGCAGCGTGCACAAACGCGTCAAGATACCTTCTCGATGAACACGTAAACTGTTTCCTTCCAATAGTCAGAAACCCGATTATGTTAGACCAGCTCCACATACTCTCAAGCTTGCAAGTAGCAATACCCAAGTCCCGTTGTATTGCTCAGCTTCTCAGGTCACATTTGGCACGTTGGTGTCGATAGACGCACGCGCTGCGACGGGCTCTTGACATCAACCGGATCTACGGCATCAGCTTCAATCGAAAGCAGTAGCTCTTCTTCGCTGCCACTGCGGCACTCTCGCTTCTGAAGCTCTTGCAGCTGACGTTTCATATACACTACGAGGAAAGTGATAGCCAGCACCGTCATCGAGACAGCTGTAACAACCATGATCATCCGACTTGTCGTCATCTTAGTCTCACCCGTGAGAATAGCGGCGATATCACTCGCTTGATCGCCGATATACGCGCAGAGGATGGCATGAGGGGTGTTTCCTATCGCCGATGACACTATAAATCGTGTCACTGACACTTGGGTGATGGCTAAACTATAGATCTTCACAAGATTCGGGATACTGGACAATTGATACAGCACCACTGGCTTCCAACTCGAACTATTGAGTGCCGCAGAAAAAGCACGAAAGGTTGGAAAATTAGTACGTAGGTAGTCACCAATCATCTCCTTGCCCATGTAACGTCCCATGAGAAACGCAAGTGTAGATCCACCAGTCTTTCCTATTGTAATCACCAGTAGAGCATGCGGTACACCAAATAACAATCCTGCCATCATTTCAAAAGCTGTGGCTGGTAAACAGAGTGGCACAGCTACCCAAAACACCAGAATAAAACCTAAAGTACCTAATAGTAAATGAACTTGTACCCATTTCGTAAAAGCCACTAAATACTTGTAAACTGGAAGCATATACAGCAATGACACTGTCATTGTCAGGAACAAGGCAAAGACGCTAAAACGTAGCCATAATCGACGCTTTCTTTGCTTTGAACACGCAATATTATCCTTCTCCATACTAATAGTAAGATTACACTACTGATGGAGCCAGAACACCCTTGATGTTTTACTTTCCAGTAAACATTTTTCAGAGGTATTGTATCATAATATAGGTACATGTGTACCAATATACCTAATACTCCATCGAGAGTGTAGCCATCTTGTACATTGTCAAAACTACTATGTTTAAAGCATGTATTATATAAGATGCATTATATACTACATTTGCTGTCTCAACGATTGCGTATTGTTTTGTACTCTATCTTTTATGCTCAGTAACATTATGGTTTATTGCTGAAATATCGTTATATTAAGAGCGTCAGTCATTGAGATTGCACATAGTACGCCGTTTTCATTTTGATTTGATACATGAACGTCGAGTAGATTGAATTTGCTCAAAAATGGTAGTGCTTTATCCTGCTGACCTAAGGACAGTGTGAGTTATACGTCCATACACCCATCTATCTACTTATGGCAATTGGCTGGCTTCTCAAGACAAGTCAACTTAATTGACGCATTGATTGGGATAAGCACACCGTCGCTTTCAACTGATAAGCATATGCAAATCAATACATGTCAAATCCTTTGCACTCTTATGCCACAGTTTGGCAATAAACTTCCCCCCTCCTTGCGGAGCCGCAGCCCACGAATATCAACGACGCTTCTCGTTTTTACCGTCTTTGTACTCCAGTCGGCTACTACCTGCAGACTCGCCACCCAGTCGATGTCCACTTGAAGAGTTTTCCATAGACTTTTCTTCGTCGTGTAAAATCATTCGAGACCGCCCTACAGCAGCGCCACCAGCCTTCGTCCAGTCCAACTCGTTGCTTTCCTTCTCAATTTGCCGCATCAACTGGTAGAAGTTTGTGTCATGCTCAGAATGAACCTTCATGAACACCACGTTGCACATACACGCGTCAACATGCAGCTTTAGACGAAGATTTCACCACGGCAGAGCTTACATTGTGCGAGAGCTCGTGGAACAACACTTTCTTGATACTGTAACATGAAGTCAATTCAGTAAGGGTTGTACGACACGTCCACTGCACATCAAAATTCCCATTACATGACACTTACCTCAAAAACTTACGAAAGCCTAGTAGATCATCCGTGCGCAGTCTCAGCAAGATCCTCTGTCCCTTGTTTTGGTTCAACCCAAGCACGCACACGGGATCCACGCCTACCTTTCCATCAGGCAGCATTTCTGCCAAGACACCGACACTCCATCTAGAAGTACAGCGCATCAACAGGTGTAAAAAACTGTTACAAAAACTACTTCCTACTCTCTATCTTTACCACACCAAACGTACTTGTGCTTTGCCATTACCGCTAGAATTCCTCGATCATTGGCCAGTTTCTCCAAAATCTCCTGTGCCATCTCCTTATCCGTAAAAGTCTTCAACGGCTCAATAGCATGAAAGCAATAGCTTGTCGACAATGCATTCCGTGCTTGAATCTGTTGGTTTCTCTTGGAGATACTTACCACACGTCGATTCTCTCTACAACAGCATAATTTTGTCAAAAATCCACCTCTTTTCGTTTCATCCTATCGTATCCAGAGCTCACTAACCGAATCGTTCTCTCTCTATGCACAGCATCCTGCTTGGCTTTCATATCTTCAATCTGTGTCGTCGAAGCGCCTGCCATTAAGAATATAGTCGCGCTGCAGTCGCACACGTCGGTCAATCGCCTCGAGACGTCGCTGCAATCAACACGTCGACGCTTTTGAAATAATCGTTGTACTTCTGTATGTACATTCAGTTTCTCTTCAATTGCTCTTTGTACTTCGGCTATAGTTGGTGGACACTCACTTGAAACCAGGATTGAGTGAAGACGTCTTTTAAAATGTACTTTTAAGGTTAGCATAATCACTTAATGGTCAATTCAACAATGGGCTTTTATGACTGTTTATAACGTGAATACGCAATCACATCTTTGCCCAGCTTTTGTAACCCTTTTTATTCTGTTTGTAATGTCTCATATTCGAGCTGTAGAGCTGGCTCTTTTATGATTGCTTTGAGCTTTTTACGTACTGTCTTACATTTCCTACGTCAGTTAGTACCAAATGAGAATCTCATACAAGTGTCTTTCTAGACCATGCATCCCCCATTACATATACGGGCTAAATAATCAATGAGTGTTTATCGTATTCAATTTAGTGTTGTTAATTTTGGCAAACATATAGCCAGAAATCTCAATTTCTATTCGTACTTTACGATTCAATGTCCTTTCACGTGACAAACATTCGTGCTTGTGATTCCGCACTGAGAGCCTCAAAGTGTCTTCTCAGCATGGCGCGTCCTCGCGGCATCGACGTTTTGTTCGAGTTTGACGCGCCGCAGACGTTTCAAGATCTCAGTGCACCATTTGTTCCTCATGCACTAGGTGAACACGACGTCTGGTTTGATCAAATTCACCCACAACATAGCAAACCCAGTGCCGACCTTGCACGAGAAGCAGCAGCTATTGTGCGTAAGTTGCAGGATAAGGAGCAGCAACTCAAGGAAATGCCGATCAATAGAAAGAGCAAACGATGGAGTCGAGATAAAGAGAATGAGCGTCCAAAGAGCGGAGATCGTAGTCTGGTCCGAAACAAGCAACTTCAATTACAAGAGAGTAAGAAAACCTATACAAGTGTCAAGGAAATGCGAGCTACGTCCGAGCCATTTCAAGTCAAGAAAGAGATAAAAGAGGAGATAGCTGTTGTGGAAAAGCGTCGAAAACCACTTGTGGATGCACGTAATAGGCTCAATTTATCAGGCAAGGAGAGAACGTTCATGAGTGGTGAGAAGAAAGAGATGAGGGACTGGCAGAAGCTGCTGAAGAAACATAATAAGAAGTTTAAAGCTACACATACGTATGAACCATCGCAACATTCAGTGCGAGAGGTGAAGCAGGTAAGAGAAAAGGGAGAGAGAGAAATAAGTAGAAGGTCTGTTAGATTTGGAGACAGGATGGGAATGACATTGTTTTGTGTTGGTAGTGGGAACGCAAGATGAACAAGAGCTACTATAATTTGTCGGTGGAGGAGCGAGTACAAGCAAATCAGGAGATTGCGATTTGGAAGCAACGACAAGCGGATAGCAGTCAGTAGGAGATAGGTAGAACGATCGAACTGGAATGCTTGTATTTGAGTACTTTGCCGCACCATGCTGGACTCATGTGATTCAGTATGGCAATGCTGCCGCTTTGCATCCAGAACGCGTCGTTGATTGTGAATAAGGATTGGCTCTCAGCAGCTAGCAAACACAAGGTGGTAGCTATAGTTCACGTGATACTCATACGGTTTATTGTGCTCCCGAATGCGTTTGGATCCCATGTTCATTATCGTACCAGTAAAATTGGAGAAAAACGAGTCAGATGCGGCAAATGGTCCGGCTTAGTTGAAGCCAGTGCTATTTATTTGCAACCTGTGAGTCACGATAAAAAAGCACAACATCCGTGCATATGAGAAGAGAACGACGAACGTGTAGCCAGGCAACAGTTATCACTCTTTGACTCAATTGAGAACCGTATGTTCTTGGTAGGTGACACGTACAATTGATAGATGAGCTAAAGTGTGTAAGTGAACGAACGAAAGAAAGCGAGGAGTAAGGTAGTAATAAGCTTATCAGATCGTCTGCAATTTTTGGTGTCAAAAAGACTTCGACATGTTGCAATGGCAGAATTCAGAATGGCAATGAAACAAGGTGATACTTCCTAACAATAGATGCGTGAATGGCGTAAAGCCACAGTTTGTCCATTGAAAAGCTGATCATCCTTAACTGTCTGCCGGTGTATGAACGATTAAGCACATACTAATTTGACGCTTAACATGAGAATGGACGTTCCTGATGACACCTCATGCCAATAGTGCAAGCATCAATCGAGCCATCAAGAATGACGGACCGATTCCACGATGCGCATTCTAAAACGCCAATCCAGATCAGCAATAACTCAAAACACAATGGAATAAAGAAGAGAAGTAGCTGCTCAAAAACACAGACTTATCATCCCTGACATTGCAATAGTATCATTTTCATCCAAGCAAACACTTACAAACCTTCACTCCCATTTAACTCTATATAAGAACAGGAAGCAAAACCAACCTTTTACTGCAACATAAGCCACCACTATACCATATGTATTTTTAAACCATATCCGTTATCATCCTCGTGATTCCGACTAAAAAACCCACTTGTGTTTTATTGCAAGAAACGAAAAAAAAAGCCCGTCGGCCACGTGTCCCGCATAACGAACGTCACTGGAACAATGTCGGACATTAAATGGACACCTCTACGTTTTCTAGCGTATGGTGTCGGTCACGTGCTGAATGATATGTGTGCATCCACATGGTTCTCTTATCTACTGGTTTTTTTGCGTCATGCAGTAGCAATGTCTCCTGTAGATTCAGCGATTGTCATGTTTTGTGGTCAGATTGCTGATGGACTTGCAACGCCTTTAGTTGGTGTCTTTTCTGACCGTTCATCTGGTCTTCCAGTCCTTGGCTTAGGACGTCGTAAAACATGGTTGGCAATTGGCTCTTTGCTTGTCATGTTGTGCTTCTTTTTTGTCTTTGCTACTTGTGTCCCCGAGTGGTTTGCTGACTCTCCTAGTCGAGTAATCATGCTTGTTTACTACAGTGCAGCTGCGAGTATCTTTAACATTGGATGGGCTACTGTACAAGTATCACATATGGCAATGGTACCTGAGTTGTCAGAAGATGACAATGTCCGGTGTATTCTCAATAGTACACGCTATGCGTTTACGATATTATCCAATGTCTTGATCTTTTGTGTCTTTTTGATTCTACTACGTGTGGTAAAACCTTTTGGAGTTCCCGATGCGGAGAAGTTTACGTTGCTGGCATATACTGCACTTGTGGTTGGAGGAATTTGTACGGTTATTTTCTTATCAGGAACTCCTGAAAAGCTGACACCTATCAAAGAAGAGAAGAAGAAGAAGAACGATGCTACTGTTGTTTTGGCACAAAGTCCAGTAATGGCAGATTTGAAAGGACAGGGACTTTGTGGATTTCCATCTCAAGAAGATTTGAATGTATGTGTCGAGAAAGTGGTAGAAAGTGCTGCCGATCACATGACGTGGAGATGTTGGTTTAGCATGGTTATGTTCTATGAGGTGGGAGTAGTCTATATGTGTACAAGACTAGTGGTGAATATCACCCAAGTGTTCATTTCGTTCTATCTCATCGTGACACTCGAAATGTCAGCGATCTCGATCGCTATTGTGCCATTACTGGTATATATTTCCGGTTTTTTGGCGACATTCTTCTTGCGCTACTTGAACGAATCTTTGGGACGTACAGGGTCATTTGCTCTTGGAGCCGGCTTGATTGTGGTAGCACTAGCACTTTCTTATTTGCTCTCGCCGGATACGGCTAGGTGGATCTATCCGTTCTCGATCATCTTGGGTATGGGCAACTCAATCATTATGGTCACGTCTGTTTGTTTGACGGGAGATTTGGTTGGAAATAATGTTGAAAGTGGTGCCTTTGTCTTCGGTGCAATGAGCTTCACGGACAAGATTTCAAACGGCATTGCTATTCTCTTTATCCAGAACACGCGGCAGCAGCTGCAAGCCTTGCCGGAAGAAGATGGCAAGTATCTGCGCCAGGTGTACTGCATCCTGCCATCTCTTGCTGCACTCGTTGGTCTGTGCACAGTGATGTTCATGACGCACTGCAGCAGATCTGGTGACAAAAGGCGACGCAAAGAGACGAGTGTGCCCAGTAGTGCATTAGAAGAAACCGAGATTCTGCAGGCGGGCAACGTGAAACCGGAAGGATATGGTTCGGTCTAAGCTTTGCAAGTATGTGAGCAGAGAAGCTCTGTCAAGATTTAAACAGCGCAGTTTTTCGCTTTACGAACTTACGAACATCAACTCTAGGAAGGTCACTGTAAGATGTACATTTTCCCGTGGTTGGAATACCAAGACATCGTTTTAGTGTATTGGTCTCACTGCTTTTGACGAGCAAAGAGCATATGATGGAAGGTTGTGTTGTAAAGTCTTGCAAATTTCGAGCTGAGCTAGTTGCGTACGCTACATGAGTAGCTGTTTACAATGAGATTTGAACGCATAGTTGCATCATCGTGATTTTATGTGGGCTCAACGTAAAAGTATGCCGCGCTCAAGATGCTACGACTGAGCTGGCTACAGAGCGACCCATGTCGACTCATCATTTCGTCTTGGTTTGCAAAGGGTGCGAGGGCTTTAGGCCAATTTGCTTCTTGCTCTTATGTGGCCGAGGTCTTAATGCGTGTTATATTTGATTGACAAACAAGTGCTACGACCACAGTATCGTGTGTCGACTTTGCAGTACAAGGTTGCAAGAATGCTTTGCAAGGTCAAGCAAACATAGCAAGGCAAAGTGTTATTAGCTATTGCTTTCATCTGGTTTGACACTACATGGAAAACACGGAATTGGTGCTGCAGTATATGGAGTCACGCATGCTGACGCTGGTGTGGCTAAACGTGCCGACATTGCCGACGCAATCAAATTGAGATGGTACAACGCGATATCGTGTGGAATGCAGTTGCACGGGGTGTTTAGATCGAAGAAGTAGCAAGCGTTCACATGAGCGATATGGTAAGAATGCAGGCTATGAATTGGCAACAGAAAAGCAGAGTGAAAAACCGACACACTTTGTTTATTTTCAAAGTGATGATAAAGGTTGCTACATGAAACGAATACAGCAATGAGTTCACAGCCAAAGTGACCACATGACATGCAAACAGTAGACGCTCAATACCGGAAAATGTCAAGACCTCGAATCTAAATCGCTACCTGTCACCACCTCACTTGATCTTCTTGGTCTTTTCAAATGCTTCTTTCTCATACTTCTCAATCTTGCCTTTGAACAGTGTCGGAAGCAGGGCCACAAATTGCAACAAAAAGAGCACAGCAAAGTTGACGGTATTACTCCCGCCTGACATTCCAGCAGCACTATTGAGTGTCGCGCCCGTTGAAATATGCAAGAAGTTGGCAGGGATCAAACCAATCAGCGTAGCCAGAAAAAAATACTTGAACGGTACGTCCACCAGTGGACATGCGATATTGACAAACCAATTGGGCAATAAAGGCGTAATCCGCAGGAAGAGCAAGTAGTAAAACAGGTTTTTCTGGTTCTGGGCAATTTTATCCTTGAAGCGATCAATCATACCAGATAGTAAACGACTAAAGACCCCACGGCCTAAGAAATACGACAGCATAAAGCACAACGAAGCGCCTGTGGTGGCACAAAAAGCTACTAAAAGTTGAGCCTGTAGAAATGGGTACATCGCTCCAGAAAGAATACTTAGTACAATGGGACCAGGGATAGCAAAAGTCTGCAACGCGATATACACGATGCAGAAACTACTGAGCACAAAGGCGGAATGGTGTTCACGATACTGAATAGCACACTGCCATAGTCCTTGGACTGTACCCATTTTATCATTTCGTCCATTTAACCAATTGGGTAATACTCCTTGAATTACGTAAGAAACTGAAATAGGTGCACATTCTGGACTATATTTTGTGACATGCAATATTTACAATACACCGAGTTAGAAATATAAGAAATGTACAGAATAGAAATGGATACATACAAAAGGACGTTAGACGTACTACTCAGCTTTAGGTGCATATTGGAAGAATAAGTAGACACTTGTCACGGCGGTTAGTATAAGAAGTAAAAGTAGTGACGCATGCGTACGCAACTGAGTCTCTGGTCGAGCAGACATGGGCAGATAGTATGAACTGGTAGGCTAAAGTACTAAATTATTAGAAATAACGCTGTGCGACGAACAAGATGTTGGTGTTGTACACACCAACTTCAGACAAGTTTTGTTGATGTACTGGAATATGTTATCACCTCTCTTATATTTCCGCTTACGTACGATCTGAAACCATGTCTGTGTCACACCATTGACACCATCTGAGTCTGTCATTGCTAAAAGCTCTACCGCCGTCTACTGAATAGAGAGAGTACAAACAACGTCACGATGAATGAACAGTATCAAGAAGAAGAGCAAGAAATGGCGGTGGAACATCATGAGATGGTAGGTGATTCATCATTCATCTGGACGATGTATTGTGCTTTGCCTCTTACTTATCAGTGCTTGGAGTTTTCTCTCGTCCAAGTGTTTACTTATGCTCTTTACTCTTCAAACACTTGATGACGTAATTATCGATATATATTGTATTGATTGTTCTGTTGTGAAAATGATTACGTAGCAAGGTCCACGACTTGTGAATATCTTGGAGCAAGCAGGCATTAATACGACAGACGTGAACAAACTGAAGGAGGCTGGAATGCATACGGTGGACGCTGTGGCTATGGCTACGAAGAAACAACTTGTGGCTATCAAGGGAATTAGTGAAGTGAAGGCAGAGAAAATGCTTAAAGCAGCACGGGAGATGGTCAATGTGGGCTTTACGACGGTGTGGAGATTATTTCAGCATTGAGGCGTAGTTTATGGTGGATTCTTGTTTTGTCTATGCTAAATGTGACGTATTTTTATTGTTTTGAAGGCAGCCGATGTGCTAGAGAGTAGGAAAGATTTGATAACATTATCGACGGGCTCTAATGCTGTTGATGAACTGCTGAAAGGTGCGTCGTTTTGCTGAGTTTGAAGATTGAGCTGAAGTTTTGGGTGAGATCAGATGATGTTCTTACTGTTTTTAGGTGGTATTGAGACGGGTTCAATCACAGAGCTGTTTGGAGAGTTTAGGACGGGTAAAACACAGTTGTGCCACCAACTCTGCGTGACATGCCAGCTGCCAGTGGATCGTGGTGGTGGCGAAGGCAAGGCGTTGTATATCGACACCGAAGGCACCTTCCGTCCTCAAAGGTTACAGGCTATTGCAGAACGATACGGTCTGGATGGTGATAGTGTATTGGATAACGTAGCGTTTGCACGCGCGTACAACTCGGAGCATCAGATGCAGCTGCTGATTCAAGCGTCCGCTATGATGGCCGAATCTCGATTTGCACTCGTCATTGTCGACAGTGCTACAGCACTATTCCGAACAGATTATTCAGGTCGTGGAGAGCTAGCAGCTCGACAGCAGGAACTTGCAAAGTAAGTTGCTTGTAGAGCGATGTATTGTGTTATTAGATGGGCAAGATAGTTACGGAGCGCTTTGATGCTTCGTGGAAATTAGATTCCTCCGTACTCTTACAAGAATGGCCGACGAATTTGGTGTTGCAGTTGTGATCACAAACCAGGTATGGTCCTACGTAGAAGATACCTGCAGTTTGACTATTGAATTACAACATCACTGAGTCTTTCTTTTCATGTTGCATTAGATGACTGCAAATCCAGATTCCGGCATGTTTGCCAAAGATCCGCTTCAGCCTATTGGTGGCAACATCATGGCCCATGCGTCATGTACCAGGTACGCTGTTGCAGCAATATAGAACAATCTCTTGTTTGTGTGTGTTTGAGTAACACGGCTGAATACACATTTGTGCGTTTACAGACTTCGCCTGAAAAAGGGTCGCGGTGAGAATCGTGTCATGAAAGTTGTCGATTCCCCCATCCTGCCGGAATCAGACGCTATCTATTCCATCACGGAACAAGGTATACAGGATGAGCTCAATTAGCAAGGAATACACGTTATTGCTACTACTTTTGCAGACTTTTTGCCAATGCAGACGTTTCCAGACAAAGGCGTATGGTGGTGGTACTACGATTGCGAGAGGCATGAGAAATCGTGTCAACCCACAAACCCTGACTTTGTTGGAAGCATGCGATACATCAGCTAGTGTCTGTCTTTTTGCAGTCACAACCTTGCTCTGGTCTCTTGTAACTCCTACTCTCTCTCTCTCTCACCTAAAGCAGGTTGAAGCGTGGAAAAGCCGTTTGACAAAGCTGATAGGACGCCATGACGTCATGTAAATGCTGAAGTTGGTCATGGAATCTTGCAATTCCGCAGCGTAGTTGAATACAGTAGCATAGCTTCTGGATAATAAATATGCGGAGGGTGATGGGCGTTTGAACACGCAGTTGCTCGATGAGGTAGGGCCACTAAACGAATGTGTTGTCAAACATGTTGATTCTTATATGTCGAGTAAAGTGCATGATTAAAGGTTTCTCATTGAGCAACCATTAAACACGCAAACGCACTCACTCTCGGTGATGGGCATGACAATTATTGTGAACCCTGTCATGATCATGATTCATTCCCCAACTTTCAATACAACAATCAAGTGACTGAAATCCCGACGGCACTCAAGACAAAAGAAGACAATGAAGATTGATACCACACGTCAACAAATGAAGTCATACTGGACAGAGCACAGCTCCAGCGCAGATATTGAGGCTATGATGCTTGATTCAAACGCCAAAATTCTCCATGAACAGGAGATGCCCGAGATTATGGAGCACGCTCCTTCTATAAAAGGCAAAGACGTGCTCGAGCTTGCTGCTGGTATTGGCCGCTTTACCTCCATTCTTGGCAAGACTGCCAAGAGTGTCACAGCTGTGGAGTTCATTGAAGATTTTCATAAAGCCAACATTGCCACCAATGGCCAAATGGAGAACATCAAGTTTCTATGTCGGGACGTTGTCACACTAGAGAACGAACGCCACTCGTTTGATGTTATCTTTTCCAATTGGATATTTATGTATCTAGGAGATGAAGAAGTCAAGGCATTTGCCAAGAAAGCCATCAAGTGGCTTCGTCCCGGTGGCAAACTCTTCTTCCGTGAATCTTGTTTCCGACAATCTGGAGATGCAAAACGCAATTCAAACCCGACGCATTATCGTCACCCTGCATTCTATATCGGAGCTTTTGGATCCGTGGTATCTAAGGAGGAAAACGGAGACTTGGGATATTTCAATCTTGAGTCTTCTGGTAGTGTCTCTGTCTACCGCAAAATCAAAAAGAACAATGGACAGATCTATTTCAACTACACAAAGGCCATCAAGGAACAAGCTGCAACTGGCAGTGATGACGGCGTTGAGACGTTTCAGAAGTTTTTGGACGAACAACAGTATTCCAACCAGAGTATCACGCGCTATGAAAAGATCTTTGGACAAGGTTATGTGAGCACTGGTGGCCAAGCCACCACGACTGAGTTCGTGGAGAAGCTCAACCTCAAAGCTGGCGAGCGAGTGCTGGACGTGGGCTGTGGTATCGGAGGAGGGGACTTCTACATGGCCCGTCAGTTTGGTGTCTCCGTTGTCGGCATTGATCTCTCCACAAACATGGTGCACCGGGCTCTTGAAACGTCCATGCAGAATCCAAGTGTCGACGTAGAGTTTGAGATTTGCGATGCCACGAAGAAAGAGTATCCCGATGCATCCTTCGACGTCATTTACTCTCGTGATACGATCCTGCACATTGAGGACAAGCAGGCTCTGTTTGCCAAGTTCTTTCGTTGGCTCAAGCCTGGTGGCCGTGTGCTCATCTCGGACTATTGCCAGGGTGAACAAGAACCAACGGACCGATTCAAAGCGTATGTGGCGAGCCGGGGATACCATCTGTTGTCTCCATCCCAGTACGGTAAAGTGCTTGAGTCGGTCGGTTTTACGTCTGTGCTAGCTGAGGATCGTACCGAACAGTTCGTTGAGGTATTGAAAGAAGAATTGAGTCGTACACTGGCACGCAAGGAGGAATTTGTTGCAGAGACGAGCGAGTCTGACTTCAAGTATATTGTCGATGGTTGGAAGGCAAAGATCGTACGTTGTGGTGAGGGTGACCAGAAGTGGGGACTGTTCTTTGGGAAGAAGAAGTGAGCAAATATCAAGTCCAGCAGCCTTATCTGGGTCTGATAATTTGTGCGGATTGTCGACAACGTGAGACCATATGGGTGTGATCTTGAGTATATGGATGATCCAAGTCTACATGTAAGAAATGCATTGATTGACTCAGTGTTTATCAGACTTGAGTCATGTTCATACAGATGTGTTATGTTCGATATGATCGTATAAGATCTATAGATCTTTGTTGCAATCGTGTTTCGCAGATGGTTATAGTTCATGGCAAATGTATTTGTAGCTAGCTACAAGTCTGTTATAGGTATACTCCTATAAAATCAAAGTCAGCACGAGATCATGAAAAATATACTGATATTACGTCACAGTCTGGTTATGTTCTCTATGGTATCCATCCTTTTATAAGAATAAGAAGCTTACTGATGTCACAACTATCTATTGCGTTCTTTACATGCTATAGAAAATAATCCATCCATGTATAATAATATCGACAGACACCCCATTGGATAAGACAATATTATCATGGCTTACTTTATTGTGACATGTTGCTTTTCATCGTGTTCATTCTTTTTGCACCATACGGAATAAGCCGCGAAGTTTCTCTGTAGTATACGTTATCAACCGTATCTCTAAATTAGAACTTTATTTTGTATACGTCTACATGTCAGTGAGTAATACACACCAATCTATTAATCTTTATATGGAAAGAATACGCTAAGGTTCATAACTAGTAAGCTGAGCATAAAACGTACAAATAAGTACGCTTTTGTTTATAAGCAGTCGAAATGGGATAAGTTAGAACTTTATTTTTGTGTACGTCTACATGTCACTGAGTGATACACACCAATCTAGTAATCTTTATATGGAAAAATTACGCTAGGTTCATGTTGACGCAACCAGTAAGCTGATCATAAAACGTTCAAATGAGTCCGCTTTTGTTTATGTGCAGTCGAAATGGGATCAGTCAGTCAGTCAGTCGTCACCCAAACATCACATCGTCTTTATTTACTTTCTGAAGCACAGTCCGAGTCTAAGACAGATAGACAAAGGTATCATTTGTAACCAGGTTTTACATCATTTTCTAGTGTATTAGTGAATAACTCTAGTATGTACGTTGCAACAAATACTCCAAAGAATGAAAATGAGACCAATCGCCTTGACGTCGCGTTCACTCGTGTTGAAAATCTTGAGGAGATGACGCGTAAGGAAAACATAGCACATAATGGTCAAGTGGTGTCCATGACGGAATTCTTTTCGTATGCCGATGGTATTGACAAGGTACTTATGCTATTGGGCACCATTGGCGCCTTAGCTACAGGTGTTTCCCAACCTATTCAGATCGTGCTCTTTGGTGATGCACTGAATACATTTAACCCCGAGAGCTCAGAGACTGCAGAAGTTGAGAATAATATTGAAAGCGTTGCACTAAATTTTGTCTGGGTCGGACTTGCCGTTTTTGTAGCTGGTAGCTTTCAAGTTGCATGCTGGACGATCACCGCTTCACGTCAAGCGAAACGGATTCGAAGCGAGTATGTGAATGCTATTATGACGAAAGAAATTGGTTGGTTTGATGTGAACGAACCAATGCAATTGGGATCTCGTGTTGCCGAAGCGACCGTAACTATTCAAGAGGGAATGGGACGCAAAGTTGGCGATGGACTCAATTTTTTCTCCATGGCAGTGTCAGGAATAGTCATCGGACTCGTGAAAGGCTGGGAGCTGGCTCTGATCTTGCTCGCTTTTACACCATTTATTGCCTTTACTGCGTTCTTGTCCATGAAGGTTCTATCAACTGCTACTCAGGCAGGTCTGGAGTCGTACGGGAAAGCTGGTGCTGTGGCGCAGGAAGCACTGAGTAATGTGCGCACAGTGCACATGTTTAACTCGATTAACCATTTTATTGCCAAGTATGAAGATGCATTGGGACTGTCGACAAAAGCTGGAATCAAAAAGGGATTTGCTGTTGGCTGGGGCACAGGCCTTATGTTTGGCACGGTGTTCTGCACGTACGCAGGTGGAATGTACTTTGGCGCACTAATGGTGGCAAATGACAATCTGGACGGCAACAAATGCACTGGAAACGGCTGCTATGATGGTGGTCGAGTGCTCACGGTCTTCTTTGCAGTTATCATGGGCGCCATGGCTCTTGGACAAGCTGCTCCAAGTGCCGAGGCGATCACTTCGGCGCGTGCTGCGGCGTTGCCAGTGTTTCAAACTATCAATCGTCCGTCACGCATCAACCCGATTAGTGACGAGGGCAAAAAGCTCGACAAGGTGATGGGTCGCATTGAGATTGAAAAGGTCTCGTTTGCATACCCGTCGCGACCAGAAGTACAAGTATGTAGCAACTATTGCTTGACAATTGAACCTGGAGAGACGGTGGCTCTTGTTGGTCCTAGTGGGAGTGGCAAAAGTACAATAGTATCGCTTCTCGAGCGCTTTTACGATCCGCTAAGCGGTACAGTAAAAATTGACGGAGTGGATGTGCGTACGTTGAACACAAGATGGTTGCGCTCTCAGGTCGGACTGGTAGGCCAAGAGCCATCGCTCTTTGCAACTTCAATCATGGAAAACATTCGCTACGGCTGTCCTTCAGCTACAGACGAGCAAGTTATTGAGGCGGCAAAGATGGCTAATGCATACGACTTTATTAAAGAGTTTCCCCAGGGATTCCAGACTGAAGTTGGCGAGCGCGGTGCTCAACTCTCAGGTGGACAGAAGCAACGAATTGCTATTGCTCGTGCTATCATTAAGAATCCGCCAATTTTGTTGTTGGACGAAGCTACTAGTGCTCTCGACACGGAAAGTGAGCGCATTGTGCAAGCGTCACTAGACGAACTGGTGGCTAACTCAACCCGAACTACGATCATTGTTGCTCACCGACTGTCTACTATACGCAACGCCAGCCGTATTGCAGTGCATAGCGGCGGTTCAATCGTGGAAATTGGCTCGCATGAAGAATTGATGAAGCTGAAAAATGGGCACTATCGTCTCTTAGTTGACACTCAAAACCGCGTTGCGACTGAGAAGAAAGAGGGAAGCGGTGCTGAAGTGATGAGTACTGAAGGCAATGAAAGTGCTGACGACCCGCACCTTCGTTCTGGTCTGCCTTCGCAACGATCGATTAGTCAACACAGCAAATCTGAGAATGAAGATGCTGTTGCAGGGAGTGACAAAGAAGTAGGAGACGTCGATCTCCCTCCTGTCTCGATGGGTCGAGTCTGGAAGATGTCGTTACCGGAGTGGAAATTCATGTTTGTCGGTTCAATTGGCGCCATTGTAAATGCTGCAGTATTTCCGGTGTGGGGCGTTCTATTGGCAAAGATTACGGCGCTTTTCTTTCGCCTTGACTACACAAAGAGTGAGATGTTGGATGAGGCGCGGTGGTGGGCACTTGGCTTTGTTGGCTTGGGAATCATTTTTACTATTTCGATCACCTTGCAACATTACGGATTTGCGGTAGTCTCACAGAACCTCGTGACGCGCGTTCGATTGGCAACTTTCAGCGCGATGCTGCACCAGGAAATTGGTTGGTTTGACTTGGACGAGAACTCGTCTGGTGCTTTAATATCTCGTTTGGCAACAGACTCTGCGGTTTTGCAGACTATGACTTCCGATACGCTTAACAGAGGATTGGTGAATGTCACCACGCTCACCATAGCCTTTGCAATCGCGTTCTTCTACAGCTGGCAAATGACTCTCATTCTGCTAGCGATTTTTCCAGTGTTGGTCGCATCCTCGTTTATTCAGGCCCAGGCAATGGCAGGTACATCCGGCAACAAGAAGAACAACGATGCAGACACGGCGGCAGGCTCCCTGCTCTCCGAAGCGATCAGCTCAATCCGAACTGTAGCTTCATTTAGCATGGAAGTTGCGGTAAACACGTTGTATGCGGGCTATTTGAACGTCTCGAAGCAAGCTGACATCAAGATTGGCATCGTCGGAGGCATGGCGTTCGGTTTATCACAGGGATCAATGTTCCTGGTCATGGCTTTGCTCTTCTATGTTAGTGGACGCTGGATCTCGCGCGGCATTGTCACGTTTGAGGATTTTTTTATGGTTTTGATGGTGATCATGCTTAGCACATTTGCCATAGGTATGGCAGCTCAAGGCGCAACGGATGGAGCCAAGGCCAAGCGTTCGGCCCAGCGTGTGTTCAAAGTTATTGACCGGAAGCCAACTATTGATGCCACATCTGGCACTGGACGCTCGTTGGATCATGTGGACGGTGATATTGAATTCCGCAACCTCGAGTTTGCATACCCTGCACGTCCTGATGCCAAAATCTACACGAACTATAGTCTGAAAATTGCTCGCGGCCAGACTGTCGCCCTTGTGGGTGCTAGTGGAAGCGGCAAGAGTACGGCGATTTCACTGTTAGAGCGATTCTACGATCCATCTGCTGGTGTAGTGACACTAGACGGCACCGATCTCAAGGAACTGAATCTTCAATGGCTGCGTGAGCATGTATCTCTCGTGAGCCAGGAGCCAGTGCTGTTTGCGGGAACGATTGCGGAGAACATTGAGCTTGGAAAGCCTGGTTCGAGTCGGGAGGAGATCATGGACGCAGCAAGGAAGGCGAACGCGTTTGACTTTATCAGCAATTTTCCAAACGGCTTTGACACGGATGTTGGTGACCGAGGAGCACAAGTGTCTGGCGGTCAGAAGCAACGTATTGCAATTGCCCGTGCGATTCTGCGTGATCCAGCCGTTTTGTTGCTGGACGAAGCTACCAGTGCTCTCGACAATGAGAGCGAGCGTGTGGTGCAGGCGTCTTTGGATCGATTGCTATCGCTCAAGCAGCGCACGACAATCATTGTAGCACACCGTCTCTCGACCATTCGTAATGCGAATCTCATTGCTGTGACGCACGATGGTACGATTGTAGAACAAGGTACACACGACCAACTTATGCAATTGCCTAATGGTATCTATAAGGGACTTGTAGCACGTCAAGCGACTAAATAGAACGAAGGTTTGAGACTGCTTGCAGCGTTAGCCAACCATTAATGTAGTTGAAGTGAGTGTACCCATATGTGATAAGAAAGGTTTGAATATGATAGTTCATAGTTCCACCAGTGTTTTTTTTCTCAATGTCAGCTGAATGTTGCAATAACACAAATTGCACTTTGCCACTTAGCGCGCGGAAACCAAAAAGGACAGACCACGCGTGTTGAACGTTGAGGTGACTTGGAGCCTCTAGATCGTCTACAGACATGGAACGGCTTAGTATACAGGTAGGTCTTGGTTTTCTCTTTCGATTGAGTCCTTCTTGAGTCTGTAACTCGTTTTCTATGATATTATGTGACGATTTTTGTATCAGATACAAGAAGCACAAAGGTTATTACAGCAATCTGAGGCAGATTGGAAAGACTGTAGCTCTTCGATTGAAGAGATAACACTCACTGTAGAGTCATTAAAACATGTGAATGACTATAAAGATATCACTGAGCTTCTTTTGACTCTCTCGGTAACGTTGTGTGTGTTATTTGACCGATATTGACGCCCGTTGTAGACTAATTTATGGTTTTCTGTCTTGTTTTCTGTCCTTGTTAGAGTGAAATTGGGGCTCAGATTAGTGCTATTCGATCGAGATTAGTTAAAGATGTTTGTGAGTGTCTGATACGGATTATTAACGTCACGGGACGAGACTTTCAGGACATGGCAAATGCTTTATTGCCCCATATTATTCGCACATCCAAGAGTACCTTGTCCGCCATTCGTCAACCAGGAGCAAAGCTATTGAGTAAATTGTCGGAGAAAGTACGATACGACCTCGCACTTGTAAAGAAGATTTATGTGCAGTCGATGCAAGGTGCAGCATATAATTGAGACAATTATTGTTGTTATTGTTGCTGGGTTGTACGGAATTTTGATGACATGGGTTTGTTTGTTTGATGTGTAGACAAACCTCGTGTATTACTTCTGGATCAACTGCGCATCGTATTTGTCTACTGGTCTGATGAGGAAGTATTGCCGTGGGAGTCGGACGTGCTAGAGATGATACGGTTAGGTCTAGTTGACCAGCATGATAATGTCAGGAAAGCAGCACGAGAGGTTCTTTGTAGGGTCTCATCAAGATGGTAGGAGTATCAGTAGGACACGTGTGATTGTAAAGCCTTTTGACTGACACGAACGCTTTGTTTATGTCTGATGAATTGAAGGAGTGAGCGTGTAGATGAATTGCTGGAAATGTTGTCAAACCAGGGTAAAGCTCTGTTGATACATGAACACCAAGACTCTTCATTGGCTGTAGCAATCATAAAGAAATATCCAGGACTTGCCGCCAAAGCCAAAATGCTGTCGCGCAGTAGAGGGGCTATTACGAGACCACGCCCTTCGTTCCACAAATTTCCTCGACACAAATCTGAGCAAAATATTGAGATACATGTGTCAGCAGCTCCTTCGCCAATACAGCGCACAGAAAAGGAAGTGGGGAAAAAAGAACCTAGCAGTTGTGAAAAGATGGTGAAGGTTGGTACAACCGCTGCGACGCCTGACGAAAAGGGTAACAGTGCAATTGCGTGGCATCTATATGACAATCTTGAGCCTATGGGAGGACCGGACAATTGCCAGCAGAATGACGTTTCTAAGGATTTTTCTCGCTCAGAACTACGCGGACTCTATGAAAGCCAAGATTTTGCGCCTCCACCAGATGTTGGTAAAACCTTTAGTCCCCGTGGTGATATCCAATGTCAACAACCAACTGTAGCGCATGCGTCAGATGCATCTAATACCGGAGAGACTTTGCTGCAGGACGCTAGCTTTCGACAGCTCGAGGAATCCCATACTTCCGTCCCGGTAAATGACGCTTCAATCCCTTACAATGAGAAACACCACGAATCGCCTACCGAATCTAGCAGCCCTTCCGACCAGTTTTTATCTCAGCTATCTCGTAAAGAAAGCTATTTATTGAAATCGGAAGGAAGTATTGAACTTTCCACACCTGTTGCCAGTACTCATATCGAAGAGGATAAAGGCGGGCTAAAGCTATTGAGCACAAACGGTGAGTACTTCAGCAACCCAAGTTCGAGTTTACGTGATGTCCCGGCATCTTTCCCGCCATCGACTGAATGTTTGGCTCCCCGGTCAAGGACACGACCGTTTCCTCATCAGAAAGAAGACAGTTTCCCACCGGAACCTGGCTTATCTGTGCTATTATCTTCCAAGCTGTTAGCAACAGAAATGTCCACACAGCCTCGGACAGTGGATGTAACACCAGAGCCTGTTTTTTCCATCAGTCAGCCCAATCAAGAAGCGGTGTCTCTGCTTTGCGCACAAAATATTGACTGTGTGCTTGATGGCAAAGAGGACAGGAACCATTCGACAGAAGGAAGCGGCCGTGTGGAGCTCCATATTGCGGGAGATCATTCCAAACCAGATAACAGTCGATCTCAAAGAGAAAGTGAGTGCCGCTCTTTGGAAAAGGATGACGATCAACTCAAACTGAGTGAGGAAGACATTCTTCCAAACGAATGGCATCCTGACGAAGGACTTGCACATGGGCGTGATCCTCTCGATGAAGTCGGCAAATTTTGGAGTGGTGATTTTGTTATTGACGACGACGAAAGGGTAAAAGCAAACAAGCCGGGCATCTCAGAATTGGTTTCGTGTGCTGGATCAGTACCAAAGAGACAGTGTCCAATGCGAGAAGAGATTACAGAGAAAGAAGACAGGGAAGAGTGGTTCACCGAAGAGAAATTGGAAAGCGTACCTACTGATGCAATAACATGCTTGGCGAGTGTTCAAAGCATATATGATGTGACGCGTCTCCGAGTGGCCACAAACATGGGAGAAAGTCCTGGCAGCCAACTTGTCGAAGAAGGTAGCGTGCCCGCGCACAGTGTTTTCGATAGTGCAGAAACTGCCGAAGAAGCGCAAGAGCAATTTTCGTCGAAACATGATACCCAGTCATGGGAAGTACCTAAGCGAGCGGAGAGGTATTTGGAGAGATTGACAAATGCTGATCTTATGTCGCATAGTCCACTGATAGTGCCAAGTATCAATGCTGCTCTTGCGCAATCGAACGAAAGCAGTCGTTGTGCCCCATCGTCTAGTCCTCCGATGACGCCAACACGGGGTTTGTATCTACAAACAAAACATTATGATGCGCGCGAAAGATCTGAGGAAAGTAGCTGTCTCGGTCTGCAAGGTTCTCACAGCCCGCTTCGCATGCCCGAACATTTTATTGCGAAGATTGGCGAGCCTGAATCCTTAAGTTTTGCAAGAGAAGACCGAGCCGAATACACTGAGGTACCGTCGCAGAATTTGCAAAAGGATGCCCGGCTGCAGAGTCTGTTTGACGCTAACGAACAGGCTGGGCGCTTTGATGCAGCAGAGAAGCTCTTTGCTACGAAGAAGGTTCTGTCGACCTCGGGCTTCTACAACAGGCCGCAATCCCCCGAACCTGAGCATGGTACGCATTCTAAGCTTCACCAAGTGCGTTTCCCTCCAACACAGTTGGGGGCGAAGCTAAACCCGTGTTTTGCAAATACTCAAAAGAAGGTAGCTATTGAAAAGATTGACACTGCTCTAAAAGATGTAGCTGCTGAAGACGTGGCTACGGCTATTGATTCAGAAACGGAAGCTACTGGAGTAGAGGGTCATAAGGAGGTGCTGCTAAGAGACCGACAAGTGACGGGCCCTGACGAAACGGGTGCGACGCTAACACCAGACTGTAGCAAGCGTGATGCCAGTCTCTTATCAACAACCTTCGATACCGCTCCTCGCTCTACTGCGAAGCCGTCAGCTATTGCCGAAGAAAGAAATATGCCGCCAGCGACATTAGGCTGGGCTAGCTCCTTTGCTATCACCGTTGTTGTTTTTTTAGCGGCTATGTTCTGCATGATGGGCATTCTGCAAGCCGCGCAAAAGGTGCAAGATTCTCATGAGTATCACTTGGCTCTGAAGTCGCAAATTGGAAATTTTGAGACAAGTATTACCGAGACCCACAAGAAGGTAATCAAGCTTGAAGAAGACTACGTTACATGGAGTGAATACGTGCGTAAGCTCACGGAAGAAGACGACGTGCATGCATTAGCCCAGCTGGAAGCCATCCAAGTTGAAGTTCAAAAGTGGCAGCATGATATGAAAGCAGATCTTATGGCATTTCGCCAGGCGCTTGCGGTGGACTCCATTGAAGCTTCATTTGCAGATTTGCACGTGAACGACACCCCGGAAAATTGAGCTGTAAAACAAAAACTACGGCTTGTCCGACGGAATTTGCTCGTATCAAGGACACCAACGACCATCGTTGCATGTTTATCTATTTAATCATTTAGCTTGAAAGCAAGCAGAGCATCGCGAGTACAAAGTTGTCCACTGCTACTTTTGGAAGTCGAAGCTGCCATCCTCATTCTGCGCATTTCTGTCAACTGCAACATCCAGCGTACTGTTAGCCTCTTTCAGCTTGTCAAGAGCTGCGTGTCCTTCTTTGCCGAGCGTGTTGCCTCCCATCTCGAGTGTCTTAAGGGACGGGTGCGTATGTAGCGCATCGAAGAGCATGACGCTCAGTCCTTCATGCAGCTGGTTGACACCCACGCCTAAGGTTTCAATGATCGAGTTGGTCAATAATACAGGCAACACCTCACTCAAACCGTCACCAAGCTTATTGTTAAACAGGTGCAACTGCGTGATGGACTTGGCTTTCAATAGCAACGTCATACTGCTGCTTGTGAGTCCATTATTGCTCATATCAAGATATCTAAGCGTCATATTGTCCGTCGCCAATACCTCTGCAAGAAGTACAGCACCGTCATCCTGGCACCTGTTGTTACTAAGACGTAGAATCTCTAAGGTCGTATTGTCACGAAGCCCCTCTGCCAGCGAAGCACACGCAATTGTAGTCAGTTCATTGTCCGACAGATCAATCTCTCTCAACGTCGAGTTTTGTTTCAATGCACAAGCAAATGCAGCTACGTGTTTCTCCATCAACTTGCACTCTTTCAACTGCAGCTTCTTCACCGACTTGTTCTTTGCCAGCGCATCAAAAAATGCAGACGTTGCACCGGTCAACGAATTAAATGACAGCTGCAACGTCGTCAATGAACACTTGTCGCTTGCTATCAAGGCTGCTAAATGGTCCAGTCCAGTTCCAGAAATGCCTACATCCGTCACATTCAGCTCCGTCATTTTCGTCTCCACATTGTCACTCAACCCTTTTGTCAACTTTTTCATGCCTTCGTCTCCAATCTGATTACGTGACAACGTCAACGTCGTCAGTACGTTGTTAATTGCAAGCAGCTCTCCAATGGCCGATGCTCCATCGACGCCAAGTGACTTGAATTCCAAGTCCCAATTCTGTAGTCCCGAGTGCGGATTCCGAGCCAAACCAGTGCACAAGACTTTCACAGCTTCATCTCCAAGCTTATCTGATCCAAGACATAAGTGTTGTAAGGTCGAATTCATGGCCAAACAGTCTGCAAACGCTTGTAACCCATGAGGTCCCAATTCATGGCCGGACAAGTACAATTCCTGTAGTAAAGTATTGCTACTGATGGAATTTGCCAATCGGACAAAGTCCAAATCATTGATCGAGCGTGTACTTAATACATAAAGACTCGCTGCGGTCTTGGCGTTTGTCAACTTTTTGCAGCAAGTCTTCCACTCCAGTATTCTTGCCCCACGCCATGACAATGATACACAAGCGCGGTGGACCAGTCACTTTTCATGCGGTTAGAGAACACATTGACTTGACGAGCGTCAATTTCGACAGTTGAACGGTATAAGAGCGCAAATCTGCGACTTGTGAAGAAAAACATGTGACGTGTGTAAGCATGAGAACAGGCGTCAGCAGACGAGTCGGTTGATAATGGATCGTTCATGACATGTGAATGTTCAAAGATCGTACGTTTGACTTGGATGGAATCAGTACGTGAGTCCCACTTTGTCTCGCGTCATATCCATGTACGCTTGTCGTTCGAATTCTGCAACTGGAGCTTTGGGAATTATATCGAGTAGTGTGGACGCAATGGTATGAACAATAGTAGTGAGCTTACGACGCAACTCTTTTGTCATTCACTTGGTAACTAGGTCAAAGAGATCAGCAATGAGTTTAGAAGAGCTACGATCGGACTTGACTGAAGACACATCTCCAATGTTAAAGTTTCCAGTGTCACCAGGTTGTTTCCACCCGACGGGAGCGAAACGACAGGAATATCTTGATATTGTACGAGAGCGTGTGAGTCTTTTGCTTGCTAACGACTATCCATGCTCTGATCATTGTGATCGATTGCTACCACCATTCGACACGACTAAATGGAAACAGGTTGAAAGCAATCAGGAGGTTCGGTTTTATAAACCAATTGAACGAGGTCAGACGCAGTTGATTAGTGAGGAACCTTTTGCCGATGTCCGACGAGCTATGGAAAATGGATATTCGAGTATGATATGTGACGGACAAGTTCGAGGGTCAATGGAAGACATGATGTACGGAATGACTGCGGCTTCACAAGAAGACTTGATGACAGGTTTATGGTACAAACATCCTCCTCGAGACTGTGTGTGGCTAGGTTCTGCAGAGAGACCGACGCCCGAAGACCCCTTCCGTTCAACGGACTTCATTTGGGTATTTCCTAAGCTATTATACAATGTCGATATCTGTTTTCTCAAAGCTACAGGCATTGAGAAAGACCAAGATGGGAAGAGCTACGGCTATTTGGTGCTGCATTCTGTCGCAATACCACACTGTCGTCCATTTGAAGCTCGCAAAGTCTCGCGTACGAAAATGTACTTCACGTGCTTGTTTCGAGAGACAACACCGGGATATTTAGACGTGACAGTGCGTGGCATCTTTGACTTGGGAAAAAGACGTGGAAAAATTGTCAAGAAATTGGTAACGGCTGCAACAAAGTCCTTCATGGTCAGTCTTCTTGACGGTGTTGACATTGGTTTAGCCAAGAAACTTACTATCATGGCACGTCATTATCAAAACACACTACGAGGTCCCAAGCAGTCAGGGTGCTCTATCTGCTTCAAGACCACAAAAACTAGACTGTTCGGATTGGACACGCACTTATCCCAATGTGGCGTATGCGGAGCCACCGTGTGCTCAAATTGCATCGTCAACACCAAGCAAATTCTTTTTGTAGGTTCGGATGCCCCGTGCTCAAAACATTCATGCTGTTCAACTTGTATGCGAGACGCCAGAGCTTCGTGTGGAATTCGTCCCGATGAGCCAGAGTTTCAAGTTATCGCCGAATACTACCTCAAACGCCAATCGCAATCAGCATGTACGGTGAGAAGTCATAGTCGATCTTTTTTGAACCAGATGTACCCGCTTGATACAGTGACTCGTCGCCGTAGCGGTAGATGCGTATCTGCGGCAAAAAGTAACGGGTCAGCGAATATGGCAACCAACTCCACAGCAGCCGAAAGTTTGGACACCGACGCATCCTTTAGAGAGCTGGATGAAGCAGAGTTTTTCTTCAGCGATGACGACTCCCAATGTTCTGTTACGGCTCAACCTGATCCTAGTTCAAACATGTCCAATGAATCGAAGAAAAGCACACTCACAGTTTGGAAAACGCACCACCAAGTAGATAACGATGATTTTGTACCCTCTAGTGTACGCGCACGATCACAGTTTGAGACGTTTCATCGTACACTGTATCAACTGAATATCGCGGCCGAGAATACGTTCATGCAGACGCAGAATACAACAAGGAATTACGTGATGCTACGTGGTTCTGAGCTTGATTGACCGATTGCACCATAAACCTATGTAACATGTACTGAGAATTGAATTGAATGCTTGACTAGATTATTGAAGAATGGAACGACTATGAGTAGCGACAAGAGAGGTAGATCTAAGACGTCACTTTATGCACGAATGGCAACACCAGGTGTAGCTTGGACGGTCACCTTCATACCATACTTCATGCCGAGACTGATCCCCATAGTACCGCAAATGTCTTGTCCTGGCACTTCTGCCAGGTGATAACGGCTGACAAGACATGCCGTCACAATCTTCATCTCAATCATTGCCAGCTTGCGACCAATGCATTTGCGTGGCCCAGCACTGAAGGCAATAAATTTATGTGGTGGTAGTACGATGAGCTTGTCGTTCTCGTCCAGAAATCGGTCGGGGTTGAACTCGCTGGCGTCTGGACCCCATACGCTCGGCAATAATCCCGACGCATGATACAGCAGCGTCGTGTCCATACCCTTAGCAATGAACGTACCATCAGGGAACACTGTGTCTTGCGTACAGTGCTGCGTGACGCAAGGAGCAGGTGGTTTGAGACGCAGACTCTCACGAATCGTGGCCTCCAAGTAAGCGATAGCCTCAAGCTCTTCCATTGTTGGCACATAACTCTCGTCGACGGCCAGTTTAGGAATCTTAGCAAGTAGCTCGGTTCTAAGTCGGTTCTCGACTCTGGGATTCTCATGTAGTAAGTGCATGAGCCAGCTTAGTGCATCACCTGTAGTGTCCTTCCCAGCCAAAACACCAGCAAGAGAGATGTTAAACACGTCCTTGGGTAATACAGGCTCACCACTCGTGTCTTCACTGTCCAACAAAATGGAAACAATATTTTTGGCTACAGGTTTCAGTGGTTCTCCTCGAGCTACAGCTTTCAATCGCTCTTTGCGACGTTCAATGGCTCCGTAGATACAATTCATTACGAAAGTAGAGATCACTTCCATATCTTCACGAAGTCGACGTTCGGATCCGATATTGAGCCAACGCTTGAGTTTCCACATCCACATAGGCACTGCAAACCTTTCGAGTGAGATGTGATTTGCATCATCAATTGCTGTTTCAAACGCATGATCGGCACCGGATTCCAACAGTTCTAACTGGACTCCAAACTCAATCTCGGCAAAAGTTTCAAGCGTGAATCGGCCCATGATATGATGCACATCAATGACATGGTGTTCATTTGCTGCCTTGGCAAAAACCCGTTGTAATGTCAATGCACGCTTTTGAACAACAGGTGTCATGTGGTCACGCAATGCTCGAGAAGTAAAGAGATTCACAAGTGCTTTGCGTTGAAATTTCCAGCGATCTCCATTGATAATGACAATGTTCTCACCCATGAAATCGTCGAGCAGTTCTCGCACTTGTAATCCTTTAATAAACGTGTCAAAGTGGACTCTTAGAATTTGCTCGAAATCCTCTGGTCTGGCTGAGAAGAACCAGTCGTTCTTACCCGGTTGACGTAACACGAACGGTTTGCCATTGCGAGCGATACTAGTCTCAACTAACCAATCTTGGAATCGGTCAAGGTTGCGAGCCATGAGTAGTGTATGCCCTAGTAACGGGTGTCCACCAGGAAGGTACGGGATGGCTTTTTTCACTGGTTCAGTGTCTAGAACATCACCTGAATCCGAATCAGTTGCATAGCTATTCGCGACGGAGAAAAGCGTGACACCCGCAGCTGCAACAACGAAACCGATCACTAATGGATGCGATAACAAGGTCGAGGTAGACAACATCTTGTTATGGAATGCAGAAAGCACGTGGATAAATGAGGATATCGACATGATCAATGTCACGATTGATTTGATGCTGATCAGATTTCTTTCCACGCTCAAAGCATTTGATGGCGCGAGGTACATTCATGTCGTCAAGTCTGACAGCATCAATGACATGATCCTACGGTCACGAAAAATTCCCGCGAATCATGTTTCCATGACAATACTTTGACAACTATGTCTTGTCGTATGGTTACATGTAGCCATACTCTTCCACGCATTACTTACTTCTTCAATCATCAGCTGTCATATTTGAAGGAAGTGACAGATCTTGAATGTCACGTATGATGTCGTCAAAGCATCGAGCTCAAAGCTTTGTCAGTATTGAATGTCGTCGAGTTTTTACAAACGTTGAAAAGTCCGGTGGACATTCGACATTCCTATCGAACGCTTCACTATCACTTGAACTCGTTATTCTTCCACTTTGATCACCATCATATCAGCGAAAGGATGATCAGGAGTGCGACATGATGTGCAATGACGGTCTCATTCGGGGCAAAGACGTTGTTGTTGTTGTGTGTGATCCTCGTTGGATCCATGGGCACTTGTTCACTCTCTATTTCCTACAGTCCTTTACTCTCTACTACTCAAACAACCATCATCCATCACATTACAATTTCTCACCTTGTGACCAACTATCTCTCTCCTTTTCATTCACCAACAGGTTTCTTACACCATGTTGCGTCAATGGCTTCAGAAACATCGAGTATTGTCATCACCTGTTGGTCGAACGGGTCTTGTCTTACTAGCTGGAGCTGCAGTCGTTGCTGCCTATGTCTCGACTCGATCGAGTGAAGTTCACGTCCAGAGTGTCGCTTTGGAAGAAGAAGAAGATGAACAGCCATTTCAAGAAAAACCAAAGGTTGTGCCGTACCTGCCATCCAAGGTGCCATTCATCGGTAATATGCTTGAACTCGCTGGTAATGCCCACCGCTTCCATGACTGGATGTCCGAGCAGTGTGTCGCCCATAACGGCGTATTCAAACTCTACCTACCAGGTCAGAGTGATATGATCGTGACTGCCGTTCCTGAGCACTATGAACATGTGGTCAAGACGCAATTCGACCACTTTAGCAAAGGTCAGCTGCAGTACGACATGTTTGTGGATCTCATGGGTCACAGCGTGTTAATCATTGAAGGCGAACGCTGGAAATACCATCGACGTCTGCTTGTCCGTCTTTTTTAGTGCGCGAGCTCTTCGTGACCATATGACACCCGTGATCCAACGCCACGCGTTGATGCTTCAGAAGATGCTACTCAAGGCTGCGGTGAGCAAGAAACCTGTAGACCTTTACATGCTGATGCACCGTTTCACGTTCAAGGCGTTCGCCGAAATGGTTTTCAACAATTCACTGGATAGCATTGACTCCGAACACGAACACCCATTTGAGCAAGCTTTTGACGAAGCACAGTCCATCGTAGCCGGTCGTCTTCAGCAGCCCGTGTGGCTGTGGAAGCTCAAGCGCTGGCTGAATATCGGTCAGGAACGTAAGCTTCGTGAAGATGTCGCGCTGATCGATGAATTCATCATGAATATCATCTCCACGGCGATTGAGAAGCGTCATCAACGACAGGAAGACCACAAAGCCGGGAACCCCGTCCCAAACGCCGATAAAGACATTGTGTCGATTGTGCTGGAGTGCATAGAGCAAGATGGCGGCATTGTCTCTCCTACAGATGTGCGCAACATTGCTGTCGCTGCGTTGGGTGCAGGACGCGACACTTCGGCTGATACTATGAGTTGGTTGCTTCACACTTTGGCACTGCATCCTCGAGTCGAGAACAAACTTCGTGCTGAGCTACTGGAGAAGTTACCCAAGCTGGCAACGAGCTCGACCTATATGCCGTCCATGGACGAGGTCCAGGGACTGGTGTACCTCGAAGCGACGATTCGCGAACTGTTGCGACTCCATACACCCGTGCCATTTACAATGAGGGAATGCATCCGAGACACCGTCTTTTCCGATGGTACGTTTGTGCCAAAGGGAACGAACGTTGGCATGTGTCATTTCGGTGCTGCTCGACGAACGGAAGTGTGGGGCCCTGATGCGGCCGAGTTCAAGCCCGAACGCTTCGTGGACGCCAAGACGGGCAAGTTGTTGCACACTCCTTCAGCCAAGTTCAACGCCTTCAGTGGCGGCCAGCGAGTATGCATCGGTAAAGCACTGGCCATGCTCGAGATGAAGCTGGTAATCGCAATACTCTTAGGTCGTTTTCATTTTATAGAAGTTCCTGGCCAGAAGGTACATTACGCCATGGGTATCACCATTGGCATGAAAAATTGCCTAATGATGCACGTCCAGCCTGTGACCAGTGCAGCTCCTGGCAATGCAGCTTAAGCGGTCAAAATCGTCACGCGTTTTTGTATTTACCTGACTCAACCCTGAACATGTATGGTGGGTATTTGTCGTCTCCATCCACTGTAACTCGTATCAGCTACTGAAAGTCTAATCCACTAGTGGTCCTAGTCACCATCTATTCCACTTGTGAGGCGTCTAATAGCAGATTGCGATTGCCTTGGCTGTTAGATGAGCCATTACTGACGTACGCTTCATGCTTTTTAACCGACTCTAGACACAAGTTTTATGTGTTTGTAGGCAGCGGTGCTGTCGGAGAGTGGAAGCTACTAACGGAATCGAATAGCTGTCGTTTTGCTGGACGCCACGTGCGACTTGGTCGAAGCCGCTCACTTGAAAACTTCCACCGTGGTGTTCATTGGCTTCCTGTAGTATAAATATGCACACGAGTCCCAGTGTCAAATCCGGGCCAGCATTCAGCTGGGTTGCAGACGACGACCTGCCTCCAGACTCGAAACCTTCCATGCGGTCCCCTCTACCTGTGGAGCACTTTAACAATGTCCACGTTTCTCAATCCAAACGCCAGGAATACAAAGACTTGGTGCGTCAGCGTGTGAGCTCCATGCTAGCAGATGAACATCGCTACATGGAGCGACGAGCGCAACAACATCCAGTGGTGCAGCACACGGAGTGGAAGCTTCTTCGCCGCATAAGAGACTTCAAAGTGTACAAGCGAAGATTTCAGGGTCGATCACGACAAGATGTAGCAGCGGAGGAGGAGTTGCCGGAAGTGGCAATTGCGGTGGAACGGGGCAACCCAGTTATGCTAGTGGACGGGATGGTGAGCGGCACCATTGAGGACATGCTCTACGGGATGAGTGCCACGACACAGGAAGAGATGATGACCGGATTTTCAATCACAGCTTCGCCAGAAGACGCAGCGCTACTTAGTATCATTGAACACTCGACAGTCGAGGATCCCTTGCGCTCAGCGGAGCTGCTGTGGGTGCTTAGTAAATTCCCAATCCTGAATTCAAGAGATGTATGTTTCTTGAAAGCTACGGGAGTGGGGAGAGACGGAAAGGGAGTACCATACGGCTATATGGTGCTGCATTCAGTGGATGTACCAGAGTGTCCTCCATTTGACTACCGCAAGACGAAAATTCTTCGTGCCAAGATGTTCTTTTCGTTCTTGTTTCGAGAAAGCAGTCCAGGGTCTCTGAATGTAATCGGACGCGGCATCTTCGACTTGGCTGGTGGAGAGATGCTAAAGCTCGTCCTGCCACATGCGACTGCACTCATCATCGATGGACTTTTGAAAAGCTCGAGTTGTGGCGAAGCGAAGAAGCTGACGCTGCTGGCATGTCAAAACTCTGATGAGCGCAGAAAGCTCAAAGCGCTCTCAAAAAAGAGCGTTTGTTCCATGTGCATTCGTGGCAACGGACGTGTATTGCCAGGAACTCGTTTGCGTTTGTGCGAAGTCTGTGGTGTTCCTATCTGTAAGAGCTGCACGATCAAAAACAAGCGCATGTTTACGGGGACGAGAAAGCCATGGCATGAAGCCACATGTTGTGCAACATGCTCACAGCAGGCAAAGAGAATTACAGGTGTACGTCTTGGAGATCCTGACTTTCTTGTTGTGGCCGAATTCTACAGTAATAAAAGCCATATTCCATCTTCGTCGTCTCTAAGTTGCTCAGCAGTGGCAGTAAAACTTGCGACGCCTTCACCGGAAGCTTCGACAAAACAAGACATGGTAGACTACTCACCAGCTCATAGCATTGAAGAAGGAAAGCATGACGCTGCTAAGACAACCTCGTCAATAGTAGTCACCAACTCTACAATTGATGATAGTTGTGCCGATTTCGACTTCAATGTGAGCTTCTCCAGCACGCTGAGTGGCGTGAATTCGGGTGAATGTAGACTTCACTCTAGCGCTTACTTTCATCGTAATGTCGATCTGGTCGAGAAACTTGAGCCACGTACTGGAGTGTCGGTCGATTTACTGAAGGAGTATGCGGAACTTGGTGATTTTACGGAGGAGAAAGTCTCAAGTGGGGTGCAAGCTTGGAACGAAAGCTACACAGTTGACGTTGACAAGTTTACGAAGGAAGGTTGTACTGTTGATACTGACGATTCCTTAAAGCCCTCTCGACCTACCAACATGGTCGAGTGGATGATGGAGCTCCAAACGTCGGCCGAGCAAGCATTCATTACGGCAAAAGCAAACGAAGAGATCATGAAGAAGGCCATGCGATAGGTTTGTTGTACAAGTATAGATATGTTAGTAGAATTTATCGCTGCTGGCATCTTCCTTGATGGTCTCAACAAAGTGGTTAACGTCGGCATACTATCACAACATCGTTACCTTCGTTCAACGTGTTGCATGATCATTCTTGTTTCCTCTGTTGGTGTGTACGTGTGGTCGGCTCTAATATCCAACTCAAGCAGCCTTTGCTCCACTCTCTCTGCAAGTCCAGCATTCGCGTACAATCTGTCCGAGTACATTCTATCTGAAGCGGTCGATGGAATAAAATCTTCATCATCAATACTGATCCGATGCCGACAGCCTCCCCAAATGGATATTGAACTTTCAAACGATCCAGCCTCCGCTTCGGGTCCTGAATCCGGATCAATGTTGTCCATTCCAACGTTGGTCACATCCTCTCCAGAACTTCGACGAAGTTCAGGCAAGTCTAGCAGAACCAAGAAGGAGTCGTTCTCAAATTCTAACTGATACTCTTCTAAGCTATCATTCGTCGTGGAGGTTGTTGGTACACCTGCTGATGCATTGGTTTTCATTCCGGTGTTTTGCAAAAATTCTGGGAAATCTGACGATGAATGCTGATTCAGGTTGAGGTAATACTCCGCCACTATTTGAAATTCTGGCTCATTGGGACGCACTTGAATTGTGGTGATAGCCTCACGAACGCAATTGGGACAACAGTCAACTTTGGAGCACGGATGAGTAGTGCCCATGAAGATTCGCTGCTTGATACCACGAGTACAATTTGAGCACACAGTACCTCCACATATGTAGCATGTTGTCAAGTGAGTGCCAAACAAATTAGCACGACCGAGAAAGGATGCACGTTTGCAGCACATGTAGCATATCAATTGTCTAGGAGCATTAAAGAGGTCATGAAGAGTGCTACGGTTACGACGTGCCAGAAGCGTAAGTTTCTTGGCCTGCCCAATTCCCACACCATTCAGTAGTCCAACCATAAACGACGACGTAGCGGCCGATACGAGTCTCGTTAGCATTTTCACCTTCTTACTAAGATCAAAGATACCACGCACTGTCACCTGTAGAAGGCCAGGTCGTGGTTCTCGAAACAAACAGGCAAAGTACATTTTAGCTCGAGATATGCCATGTGCTGCAAATGGTGGACATTGAGCAATGTGTACCCCATGTAGGATCAAGTATCCATAGCGTTCACCATTTGCATCAACTTGTTGTCCTGTAGCTTTAAGATAACATACGTCCACTTGGTCAAGAATGGCTGGTAGTTTTGGTAAAGCCCAGATCATATCAGCTGTATGAAAGGGATCCGTACGAGATGGAGTCTCAATGGAACCTAACCAGACACAATCCTTTGGTGGATTCTTGTATGAAAACCCTGTCATTAAATCATCTTGAGAAGAAGCTGTCATACCATAGAGAATCTCCTCAATCGATCCATTGACACCTCCATGACAAATGAGACTCATATAACCTCGTTCCACAGCTCGTTGAATTTCTGGGAGTTCTTCTTCGAGTGCTAATTCACGTAGTGAACGACCTCGTTGAAGACGTCGATAGAATCTCAAGTCTTTTTCCTTTTTAAACTCTTTCCATTCATCAGGATGTAAGAAAGGTTCGTGACGTTCACGTCGTTCTTTCGAATGAGCTTCATCCTTTAGTAATGAATTTACTCGACCATGAATTAAGTTGGTATATCTCTCTCGATCACTACTTGTAGCTTGATAACAACCAGGAGATAAGGGAATACCTATCGGTCGGAATTCTGGTTGTCTTAAAGCACTAGTAGTGAGCCAATGATGCTCGGAAGAACTTAAACTAAGACTCATGTGACACCAAGTACAAGATGAGATGAAAGATGATGGGGAACGTCAGTGATTAAGAAGGAGAGAGCATTTATTTAATGGGATGGATCGATTGATTGATGATATATGATGTATATATGTTTTATCAGATAAAGAAAGTCTCATACACTTACTACTACTACTACTACTACTACTAATCAATTCGTATTGTTCATGCGGGAAGGAATCATCGAGATGACGCGAGATAGGGTCCTGAGACTGCTACTGGTCTTACGTAGCATGAAACAAACGAGACACTTTATAGTAGATATGATAGACTTTCTAGTTTTTACTTATTGATCAATGTGCATTATGTATAGTTTAATCAAGTGAAAGTTGACAAATACTATCATTACCATCATGCATGTACTTATTTTACAATAGGGTTGATTGTTTTTATATTACGGTCACATTTAAAGATCACGTTTCGTTAAAAATAATAAGTACAAGTTGTTAGACGAGTCAACTATGTGAAATAGACGAGGTCAAAAGAACGAGCTTTGTTATTTGTGTGGTAGACAGCAAATATTATAATTCACAGGACATTTTGAAAACGCTAAAAAATGTGGGTACACGTTACAAACTAGATCTCATACTAAATTCAAGTTAAAATTAATATACCACTCGTTTTTTCTTCCATGTAATCCACTATATAGAAAAAGACGTGGAATGCATTCACGTGATCTGATTTCTTTCATAATATAAATCTCCTCCTCCCCTCTCGTGCCTTCTTTATATTTGTAGTGTAGCATCAACTCTTTATCTTTATTTCATACGTTAAAATGCATTGTTTCGATTGTTTTTACAAGTGTTTTAGTCATAAAACCTCCTTTTCGACGTCGAAAACCAATACAAATCCGTCTACGACGAATATCGTGGAAAAGAACGACGTGAGTCAGTCCTCTTTGAGCCCTCGTAATCCAATCGATCGGACTGATCATTCAAAAGTAACGGATTTCTATATTCTAGGCAATGTGATTGGTTCAGGTTCCTATTCCGTTGTTCGAGAAAGTGTCCAGAAGAGCACAAAACGGAAATATGCGATCAAATGTATGAAACGTTCGGAATTATCAAAAGAAGATAACGAGGCAATTGAAGCTGAAGTGTCCATTCTACAACAGATGAACCATCCGAATATTATGACGCTGGAAGAATTTTTTATCGAACCCGAGTATTACTATCTTGTGACGGAATTCATTAGTGGAGGTGAACTCTTTGATCGGATTGTGGAAAAAACCTTTTATACCGAGAAAGAAGCACGTGATTTAGTCAAGATTTTGATTCAAGCTATTCAGTATTGTCATGCTCAAAACATTGTGCATCGTGATTTAAAACCAGAAAATCTATTGCTCATGTCGGCCGATGATGATGCGAGTATTAAACTTGCCGACTTTGGGTTTGCAAAGAAAGTGACAACCAATAATAATTCAGGGCTTGTTACAACATGTGGGACACCAGGGTATGTTGCGCCCGAGATCTTAAAAGGAGTATCCTATGGCAAACCCGTTGATATTTGGAGTATTGGAGTCATTACGTATATTTTACTTGCTGGGTATCCTCCATTTCATGATGATGCACAGTCGATTTTGTTTAAGAAGATTCGCAATGGTAAATACTACTTTGATTCACCCTACTGGGATAATGTATCAACGGATGCCAAGGACTTTATTTCGAAAATGTTGGTAGTAAATCCGAAAGACCGAGCGACGGCAGATGAATTACTACAGCATAAATGGATCACTGAAACAAATGTCGCGACGGTGCCATTGACCAGCGCATTGACAGAGCTGCGACGTTTTCACGCACGCAAGAAATTTAAAGCAGCAGTGCACTCGGTGCAGGCAACTATTAGCATGAACAAGGCACTTTCAGGGCTGGATGACTCTGCCAGAAACAGTGACTCGCTTCCCGATGTGTCTCTTTAGATTATAGGACAGGTGATTCAACTTCAATCAATGACTTTTGTAGCAGGTGCGAGCGAAGTCGTGAGAGTGCGTATGAATTGATACTGCTGGACTTTTGCGTGCAACGCCTTGCTACCGAACGCTTGGTCGCTGCTTTACTTTGCATCAAATTATTCTGTTGTTCTTTGTTACTACTACTGGACAAATGTAAATTTGCTTTGGCGTCTTAACAAGTTTTTACCTACGTAACTTTTTCCTTGTTGTTGCGAAAATTAAGCGCATCAAGTAAGTTTGCCTTGAACGAGTCGAGCTTGTATGGATTAAAGTTCACGTCGTCCACCGAGAAACTCTCTTCCGTGTTCATGATAGAATCGGGTGAAAAGAGTCCACCCCAAGTCGCATCCAATACTTTTTTCTGCTCTTTGCGCGGTACGACCAGCTTTGGTCGAGTTCGAAGGCTCAATCGCTTAAGAAGGAAGCGAAACATTTGGTGGCTGGACGCCTTGCTGTCGAGTTTAGCTTCCTCGCGTAGATCTTCACGTTTGAAGGATTCGTTAGCTGTTTCGTTCTGGGCAATGCGCCTAAGCTGCATTAGGAAAAAGACCCACAAAATGATGCTGGTCATAAGGCACATGGCGGCGACAAAACCCATTGCTTGGTTGTTCTGCAGCAGACCAGTTTTAGACGCGTACTGTAACACAGATCATCCAGGCAGAAACGCGTACCGCAATTAGTGACTGCAAGATCTTCGCAGTCTCCGTTCTACCAATCGCATCCATGCTTACACCACGAGAAAGCAGCAGATCACTTGTCTACGTGTTTTTCCATCATATCCAGCATCAAGTTCGCAGCAAATATCCCGACTCCAAATCTTACAGAAACAAAACACGCACCTGAACGAGAAAAACACTGCTTACGACAAAAAAGCCTTCAAGACAAAGTGCAAGCTGAACCTAACAAAAAAGAACAACACAAAGACGTAAGACCAAGAACTATATACATGAATTATGTGATCGTTTACAAATCATTTGCAAGAGCGACATGACTTTTACCAACAAATAGACAAGAAAATATTTATAGTTCTTTGCACCGACGCAACCATTGAACCAGACTTTGCAAAACAGACGCAGTAGAAAACCACGTCAGCTTCAAACCGAATTGATCCACAAAAAAATGAACGTGAATAACAGTAAACAACATCCATTGACTCACTGCAGCTACAATACCACGACCAAACAAACAAACAACCAACCAACCAACCAAAGATTTGTTAGAAGCAGAAGATAACAACGCACAAACACACACACATCTTCTTCTTCTTCTTCTTCTTTTCCTGCCAGTCTTGTGGTTGTAATCACTTACTGATGATCAAATCTAGCAACACAATGATTGCACATTCGACAATGCTTGGAACGTGGTAATCTATCCACAATCGAAGACATAGATAAAGCACATTATATCTGCTTGCAACAACACTTTGCCTCGTAATTCTAGACCCTTTTAATACGAAAACTTACTTTAAAGTCTTGCAAGTACGACAATATTTTGCCTCTGGATACATGACTGGATGATTTACATATTGTTTAAACTCGTGGATATTTGTATCGTATATAATACCAGGATCACTGGAACTCATGACGATATACATCATAATTGAGCCAGTAAATAAACACGTTACTAGCCATCTAGAGTAGCAATAAATAGCATTCTTGCGTAAGCATATCGTTCTACTATTTTTTTACGATATGTACTACTATTTACAAATAAGAAAAAACTCGTACTTACTTGTGATACCAACCAATGTATGGATTAGGCAATAGTGAAGTAGTCTCACGTAAGTAAATATAGTAACACAAAGCCATCATCATGTAGTATAGAATCTATTATACACAATACAGACCAAAAACATATAAACCCCGCCATTCAATGTATGAGATATGAAGTAGTATCGACTTAATCCATATTAACAAGAACATAAATTGATAACATTCATACTTGAACAAGTGGATTCTTCTTATAGACGACATAGTCTCGTAAATGAATTAACATATTAGTACTATTACTACTATTCATGAGGGTACTATTAGTAGTAGTAGTAATAGTAAGAGTAGTAGTAGCTGTAGTAAATAAAACTCGATTCATACAAAACTGAAATGAAAAAAACAAGTATTGATATAAAGATCCCCACGTACTTGTTTTGAACAATGTACCAAGATAAAGGTACAACAATCCGAGTCTCAACCTTCCCCCCTTTCGTCATAAAGTTAAAAGGATTTAATATCAAGGTAAGATCAAGTTCTTAGTGTGCTTCTTTTTAAAGTGTCTGTATCTTTATATCTACCACCGTAATCATCTTTGTAGCTAGTCATCTATGCAGATCTTTATCTCCTTTATTGACTCATGTTTGTTTCATTCTTGTACTCCCAGTATTCACTGCATAATCGACCATGGCAGACTCTGCGTACTCGTTCAGTCTGACGACCTTTAATCCATCAGGAAAACTGTTACAGATTGAATACGCACTAAATGCTGTCAATACTGGAGGCAAAACGTCTTTGGGCATTCGCTGTACGTTGTTTAGCAGCTAAAAACGCGGTCTTACAGCGAAACTCACTCTAATATTGCTGAATCTTGCACAATTTAGGCAAAAATGGCGTTGTAATCGCTACGGAAAAGAAGTTACCGACAATTCTTGTGGATGAAGACTCGCACAAGAAAATTGCAATCCTTTCAGATCCTGCAGGCATCGTGTATAGCGGTCTCGGCCCTGATTATCGCGTCCTGGTACGCAAGGCGCGCAAGAAAGCGCAGACCTATTTCCAGAAATACAAGGAACATGCACCTGCTAGTATTTTGGTGCGTGAGATTGCAGCTGTGATGCAAGAGTTTACCCAATCGGGTGGTGTCCGTCCTTTTGGTGTGTCGATCTTGTACGCGGGCTATGATGACGACGGTCCTCAGCTTTATCAAATTGATCCGTCGGGAGCATACTTTGGCTGGAAGGCCACTGCTATTGGAAAGGACTCAGTTAGTGCCAAGACGTTTCTTGAGCGGGTAGGTGAATCAATCAAAAAGAGGCTAGCAAGATGGAGGATTGATGAATTGATTGTTTGACTGACTGACTCGACTTATTAAACTGTGATATTTTTGTGATAGCGCTACAATGATGACTTGGAGATTGAAGATGCAATCCATACGGCGCTACTAACACTTCGTGAAGGGTTTGAAGGCGAAGTATGTTGAATTTGGTAGAGGGATTTGGCAATGTTGTTTTTGATACTAAGGCGACTTGTTTTCATTCTGCAGATGGATGAAACTAACATTGAGGTGGGCATTATCAAAGAGGACAAGAAGTTTCATGTGCTGACGCCGTCCGAGGTGAAGGATTACTTGGAGCAAGCCGAATAATTTGATTGGCAAATCTGCAACATCAATACCTTCTTTTAACGGATTGCGGTGGGTTCTTATCTTAGAACTTGCAGATTCAGACGCACTATTTGAGATGCAGTTTGTACTCACCAAAGCACACGTGATGAAACGCGAAACTGAGGGGGCAGAATAGGGCAGACACTCATGCGACTACAATACACAACGTATTCAACGGAGCTGTGCTTGTAGCAAAATGTTAATTGTTGGAAATTGGTGTTGTGTCCTAGTTGCTAACTGGAGTTTAGTGAAAAGTAAAACGTATACTGTGGCCGCCCAAGAGGTCTACGTAGTCAACGCGAACGTTGCGCTGGAGCCATTTAGGCACGATGTACAGCTAATGCAACATTTGTATCGACATCATCTTGAAGAGTCTGTAGATCAGGAGCTAGAGCAAAACAAAACATTCAATGTAATGTTAGAGAACCAAGCAAATTATGCAGCAACAAAAAGATGCAAACCATATACCCGTTGATCCAAAAAGAGAGACGACATCACATACAGACGCGTCAAGGCAGACGGTTTTAGAATCTGGTAATAATCTCTTGTTTTTGGATTTAGTACATTGGCTTTAATGTCTGCAATATAAGTGCTAACAAGACCAGAGATGCTGTTCAGTTCAGCTTCTGAAAGACCGCGATTGGCCTGTTTCACTTTTTCCATAATTTGCGACGTTGAGAGTTTCTGTATCTTCTCACTTTTTGCCCATTTCGCTAGAACTTTGTCAAGAGCGTGTCCCGAAAGTTGCAATTGACCTTTAGAATCCTTCAAACTATAAAAAGCATCGTCTTCAGCAATTAATTTTTTTTAGTTCAGCCTCCCATTCCTTCGCTTTGCCTCCCTTTCCATTCGCTTTGCCTTATTTTTTGCATGCCTTGCCTTTAGCCTTTTCACCACGCCAAGGTTCTCGAAAAACGAAGCGAGCGACGAGAAATTGAAGAATCTTTCTTCTGCTGCTTGGGTACCCATCGTTTTGTCCATCCCACGAAGATATCTTGTCTTTCTTTTGACAGAATCAAACGATCGCTCCGATTGAAATGATGCAGTTGTCAAGGGAGTCAAGAGCTTGGAATCGTCAGTCGTTGCGAACGTACTCGAAAAAACGAGCAGCATCATTGTAGTGACAAACAAGAACATAGGTGACATGTTTACACAAGGGAGAAATACGTGGTAGTAGCAATCGAGCTATTGGTGTTCAACGATGACAATTACAAAGTGACGTGTCTTGCAACTAGAGACGATCGAGCTAATTGTAATGCTCTGGCTTTCAGGGTCGACAAATTGTATATTCAATCACTTTATCTGGCTTTTTTCAGGGTTGGGGAGCGAAAAGGCACACTTTGTTTATCACGTGCTTCTTGCAACGCGATTGGGTTGGACATTAAAATGTGACAAACGACGACGTTTGGATGCAAAAAGGTAGAAATCGAACGGGATGTCGTGGTGGAGACTCTTTTGGATGGAAAGACACGGAATAGCCGTTTTTTAAATGTAATTAATTAATTTCATGAATCAAATAGACTTGCTGTTCAATTTTCTTTGTTACCAAAAAGCTGTGATTACATATGGACAACATTGAGTCATATGTAATCACAGCTTTTTCTTGTCCTCCAGACTGGGTTGGACGTTCAAGTTATACGAACGACACAGTATCCGCTCGAGGTATAAGCTCTTACGGCACCAGGATGTTCATCTGCTAAGTAAAATCAACGCTTGTTTTGCCTTCACATCGCCTGACGAAGTGGTGCAATATGTTAATAGTGATAGTAGTGGATGGTGCAGGTGTTTCAGCTGTTGTGCTTGCGAATGCGTAGAATTCCTGCTGTTGTTGAATGTTGCAGCACAGAAGGCAGAGGTCAAATTAAACTTGCTACTTAAGGTTAGTAGTGTCTGCCTGTACGAAATGGTACAAGTCTCTCCGTATCACCCTCAACGCCGACATGGCTTCGACTGTTCTGTCGGATCATCGGTCTAAGATGTTACCGGTTCCGATGCAACCTCGTTTGTTTCGACGTGAGCTGAATGAATACTTTGGTCAGAAAAAATAACATATTGATGACAATGACAGCAAAATACGCTATCAACAAATAGCTTTTACAACCTGTGTTCAAAGAGCATGATTGCTCAGACAGCACACGAAGACCACAAATGGTCGTCTTTCCCGGCTTAACAATTAGCTGAAACAACATTAGGGCTTCATCAAGAGCGGTGAACAAAGAGAGACAGCGATAAAGTGATCGCGACGAAGCGCGGTGCACAGTAAAGTGGGCTGCAGATTGTACGTTTTTCATATAGCTGCCGGACAATTGACAGTCTTTCTCCTCGGTTCATAATCCTTTCGTGATTTTGTCACGCATGAATCATACCGCGCAATTCGCTGGTATATATATATATACATATATCACACGTACACTTGCGTTAAGTGAATTCAACTTTTTCGCAATTTGATTCTGTCAGCAAACGAGCAAGCTGTTCCTGGTAGATTTCCTCCGCTTTCTCGAATCGTTGAAGTTTCTGCTGTTTCAGCTTCGCAATCTGTTCACAAAATTTCGGATCAGCTACAGTATTCTTGGATCCGACGGTACATGCATCAGCTGCTTCAAAACTAGAGTCCTGAAAAGAAGTACTGCCACCCAAAGCTACGCTTTGATTGCAACATTGCCGTTCTCTTGGTGGTGACTGACTACTGGAAGCGCGCCCGTTGCTAGCGCAACAGCCCTCTGGATCGTACAAAAAATGCTGCATCTTGTGCTCCAACTTCACAACTTCACCCTCCCGACTTACGTCAATCTGCTTCGTTAGTGACTTCAAGCGCATTACCAAATCCAGGTGCAAGGCTTCCAGCTTCACACTTGCGTCACGGTCAAAGTGACTGCTCGGGTCCCATCGCAGATAATAGTGAGCCCAAAAATGGAGCGATTTTATCGAGCAGGATGGTATAATCATTTCATCACAGGAGGTGAGGGTACTACACCGGCCCATTTCATCGTCCTCCAACGCAGTCTCGGTATCGGAAGTGTTCGAAAAAAACCGTACACGATCTACAACAGGCACACAAAGAGATGTTAGCGACGAGCAAAACTTTGGCATCAATACTCTTGTACCGGCTTCACCATCTTTTGCGTTCCTACCAGCGCGGGATGGCGGCACAACAAGCGGCGAAGAAGGCAACTTGGACAGCGACGATACATCAAAGGGTTGTGGAAACGAGAAGCCTGCATCAAGGTCGCGCACAAGCTTGTGGTGGCAGGCTGGCTGAACAATCGTTATCTCTGAATCATTCCCGCTGTTCCAGCCGTTACACATGTTGCCTCCAAGTTGTAAATCACAACTGTCGAAACGGTGACGTCGCAGCTTGGTTTCGAGACAAGCATTCACGCCTATATCTATTGTATCAGCACCAGAGCATGATGACGACGAAGCCACAGCAACAGTGCTCTCACAAGCCACCGAGGTGGGACTGTTTGAGTGCGCAACTGTCCAGTCGGACAAGTCCGTTGCATCCTTGACCATTTCAGTATTTCGATTGTCAACAGTCAACGAAGAGGCCTCAAAGTCTTGTTGGGTCATGTGAGGAATCACACGAGCAGGTTCGTATGACCGGCTGACAGGCCTTTCAAAGCACTGGCGTGTAGCTGTGACGCTTGCTTTCCATTTAAGAGGAGAAGCATTGTGCGATTGATAAAAAGGATTGATCACTATTGCACGATCTACCGTGCTTAGGTATGACCACAGAGACTGTGTCGGATGAAGAGCTTCCTGCTCGACGCGCTCGCGTTCTGAGTTATACAAAAATGTACCAAACCGACACGAGTACAGATGATCAAGAATTAAAATGAGGTACCGCTCATTAAACTCGAAAGCGCTGGGAAACTGAACCAGAACTTGCCACACGCAGTCAACCCATTGCAAGAAAACAGGGGAAGATTCACTTGAGTGGTTACTGGCTCCATGGGACGTTCTATCTCGAAATTTGTGGCCAAATGAACACCACTCCTTCTCTATCAGTCGTTGGAAGCCGAAAATAGTTCGATAGTATGGATCAATCATGAGCTCGGTTAGCGATGTAAGCTGTGCCGTACGATCCCACCCGTCACTACAGTGAATCAACACACTAGACTTCTGCTCCTTGACGATGCGGGCAATTTCAACAGCCGAGTCCAATATACGAGATATGTGGTTCATCCAATGAGTTGAGGCTAACTGGTCAAGCCATTTTTCGTTACTTTGCTTTGTGGTACATAAGTCCATAAGCTTGTGGTAGCTTTTACGCATTGTGTGAATATTCTCAATGCCCATAAATATTAGCTTGCACTCCGTTAGAACGAGCGACGACTTCATTGTTTCCAGAGTGTGTATGCCTCCCCATTCACCTGCCTCATTCACATCAGTCGAGTCTCCATGAATGCAGGCCCCTGCAAAGGTTGATGAAGCAGCACCAGCAGATAGAACTACTGGCCTGTTGTGCTCTGATGCCACCATGTCTGCATCCTTTAGCGAAGCTGTGGTATGACAAGTCTCGTAGTGTTCAGTAAGCTCATATCCAGCACGACCTACAGTCTTCTGTGCTACAGCGTTTCTCCAGGGTCGCGCATCGATGATCACAAGCTTGGTTGAGGACGGATTTGTCGCTGCAATTGCCTGAATAAGAAAAACGTCCTTGTCGCACTGCTTTTGCCCAAGTCCGACGAGTGGCTGACTGCTGCGACAAATCACTGCTCCAGTATAGCGGTCGCGCCATGAAAGAACTGGAATTCGTCCTTTGGAGCGAAACTTGGAGGCCACTGCTAGCACGCTATCGGAGGCGGAAGTTGGCACGGCCAATACTGACGGATATGTCGGACACAGATCATACTCGTCATTTATAAAACTTAGTCGCCACCGGTCCGTGGTAGAACATATGCCCATTCGCTGGAACTCGCTGACAGCATTATAGATCCTCCAGCCATCTACTGCACCATTGACCCCGTCAAACCTTTCCAGCGAGAATTTTGCAAACTCGTCTACTTTTCCGTCTGGCTCGCCCAAGGCGTGCAATCGCACAAGCGCATATGTGCGGTCAAATTTGCTGAACGTTTGCTTAAATACTAACCCTGCAAAAATGAATTGCAGGCGACGAAAATCCTTGCCAAGAACTTCGAGCAGCCCACTATCCGTCTCCACCATTTCCTTTCGCTTCACACGCTCAATAGTGACGAGTGGAATGGCTTGATAAGCTACTACCGACTGTGTGTGTAAATCACACCCATACGGAAGCTCATCTTTCCGTACATTAGTCTCCATTTCTGCCTCCTTTAACAAATACCGTACCCTGTCACTTCCATCTACCACACTATTCAATATCGGAATAAACACAAGTCTATAATTCGTCACATACAACCTCCCCATATGTTCAGTTCGATCCAAGAATCTCACATAAACATTGTCGTTTTTCACCAACACTGCTTCACCTGGCAGTGTTTGTAAAATTCCATCATTATGTGTACTTGCATAGTCTGTATCTTCACTTCCAGTTCGCTCACGTTCACAGTAATTTCCATAGGATATTTCTTTAGTAAAAACAGGTGAACAAGTCGAAAATGGTACATGTCGTTGTCCATTTAATGTCATAATACCATTTCCTTCCAGCATCAGATTCAGATCAAATCCATCACCATTCATAAATTCCTTACAAAAAGTTGATGATCGATAATATCCCAATTCAACAGCAGAATCACTTCGTCCTGCTCTTGTTCTTGTCTCTCTAATATTTGATTTGATTCGATCCGATATCGAAAAGATTCCTCCTCCTCCTCTATTTGATAAGACATCTCCACCTCTATCTCCAGTATCACTATATCTTCGAGTAGGTTGATAATTACATGCTTTTTGTCTCTCTTGTACCATTTTAGCATGAGCTTTCTTAGCTGCTATCGAGCATTTTCCACATACTCGCACAGGAGTACAAAAGCCTGAATTAACCAATGGCATTCTAGCTGTAGAGCACGCATCACAAAACACGTTACCGCATCTTCGACAATGATGACGTCGTAGCATGAGAGAAAATGATGCCTGACAACTATAACATCGTTCAGCTAAACTATCAGGGACCCAAGCAACAACATTACGTTTATGGTGATGATGACGACGGTGATAACCTGGAGCTGACTTGGGCTGATCATGCGTCTTGCTTGTTTTCTTTGTGATTGATTGGATAGGTTCAACAGTCGGTGGAAGCACGGAAGACACAGGACCACGCGGACGAGTAGAGAGCGGCATGAGAGTGCGGCAGGGAAACCAACAGAATATGATGTACGTTACCTTAATGTAGTGGATAGGGTCCTTATATAATTAACTATATGCTAACAAAACGGTTGATTGCGTAATTATAGTTTTTGTAATGACGTTAAGTATGTTTTACTACTGATAAAACCGGGAGTAAAACCACCGATACAAATAGGGCATATTAAGACTTATGAAACATCAGAATGCCTTCCTTATACAGCGCTTTTGCAAGTTCTATCTGGTCCTGGGGGTCCTCGTGCGGCATGTCACCTACACGAAAATAGTCAGAATAACTACTTAGAATATACTCGATACTTTCAGCATCATCTAATTCAAATTCAAGCGGTGAGATAGGAACTTCGTGGTGCATTCGCGAGTTTTCACGGCAGTGGTAGACCACAGCCTTGCCATCCTCGATCACGAGACGGGCAACGCTATGGCGGATAAGTTTCAGCTGAGTATTGACTGTGATTTTTTGCAGCGGGCTGTTGTCACTTGTACAGTTCTCCTCTTCATTTTCAAGGACTGGCGGCAAACGGTCGATGAGAAAATTCTTGGCCATTTGATCAGAGGTGGCGTCTAGCATACCTAATGCTTCACCAAGAACAACCTTCAGCGCGACCTTGAGCTTATTTTCAAATGTCTCTCTTGCTGGATTACCTTTACGGTCCGAGTGCATGACACCCATGTACTCCAGATAGTCACGCGGCAATGATCGTCGAAGTTCGACGTTCGTGTTAATCGCAGCCCCCAAAGCTTGCGGCAACAGCACTTCAAGAAAGTTGCCGATTGAATTCTGCTGACCCGTCGACACCGTCAGATGCAACGAGTACATGTCTTTAGGTGCACGTGCTTCGTGAATAAATCCTCTTGGAAAATACAGTAAGTCGCCTTGTTCTAAATCCATTTCCAGCATTGGTTTGCCCAATTCTTCTGTCTTGAAGTTGCCACTCGAGTATCTTGCCAGCATATCGCTGTCCTTTAACGGTTGGTATACCTTCCAATGTTTGTAACCTTCAGTTTGCAACAGAAATGCTTCAATGTCGTCAAAATGGGGTGCAAAACCTTGTGTGTTTTTTGGTGTCAAGTACGTGTTGGCACCAGCCATGCAACCCCATTCATCTTCTAGTGTGGCTAACAATTTCCAAACAGTGTCTGAAAACTTCTGAGGACAGAGAAACCGTACAGAACAGCCATCATCAAAGTGTTTCCACACTTGTTTGGCTGTTGCAGAGCTCGATGGATTCAATGTGTGACGCGTGCCTTCCACGTACTTGGTAAGATCCAGATCGGTGCCATATTCCAGCGTGTGCGTTTGGAGGATGCGATCAATCTCCTGTTTGCAAAACCAACCATCATAATAGCTAGCACATTTGCGTTTAATGGCCAGTGGACGTTGCTCCCAGTACTTTTCGTAAAATTCTTCGGGAGTTACGGGATATAGCAGCCACGTAAATAGCAATCGAGCTTTCGTGGCGCTGTGCAGATCCGTTTGAGCCACAAGCTCATGAGCGTTGATGACTTCATCAGGTGATGTTTCATGCTGAACCACGAGGGGTATAGCAGAAACGGTAGATCCCTTGTGCTTTTTAGCCGAAGGTGCTGATGTTGCAAGTTTTGCACTGGTCTTCCTCCTGGCCATTGATTTTCAAGTATGTGTCAACAACACTGGTCAAACTATCTCAAAAGGATACGGTTTACGATTCAAAAAAACGTTTAATAGGGGTTTAGGAAAAACATGAAAAAGACGCTTGAATACATTCTTTTTTTTCCTGTAAGTAATATAATTAAGTATTTCACATCAAGTCTATGCCGTAAATTTTACTTGATTTTGGGAAAGAACTGCGTGTTCAGCTGGAAGCGTGTGCTCCTGACCACATGGATGGATTTTATCCGATTGACAAGTATCAACAATCGGGCTTGACTAAATATCGGAATGGGCAGGTCATTAGTTATTGAGATAGCTAAGTCTGACACAAACATATATTAAGAGCTACTTATATGTATCAAGTTTAAAGGGGATTATGTTTGCAATTCCATATGTTTCGTCGTGCAAGCCGTCGAGTCAGCCGTGAGCCAGTAGCGTTCGAGTTTACGTTAGTGTCGCTTAAGTCAGTTCGCAATTGACCTTATTCGTGGTTTAAGTCTGTCTCTATATCGTTGGTTCCATTCCATTTCACAATGTGTCCACTTCGCTACATTCTACTGCTGTTGTCGCTATTAGTCGCCATGATTGGATTGTCGCAGGCAATGACCGATCAAGAGGTATTGGCGCTTACTAACGACGATGAAGACAAGAAGAGCGGTGGCAAAAAGACCAAGAAACAGACAGTATTCCGCACGTTATTGGACATGCTGAATGGAAAGTACCTTTACGATGCTTACAAGATCAGTCGCAGTACGGCTATCAAGGCCGAGTAAGCAACAACTGCAAAAGATACACAGTATCTGTAGTCACAATGGATCACGTGACTTATTTTGCAGTGGATCCAATGTCTTGTAGATGATCGGAAATTCGTTAAGAAATTGCACGTAGTAATCCATGTGGTAGCGATGGAAAAAAGTCGACGTGTTTCAAGAACCTTGTTACTACATTTCTCTGCAATGCTACGAACCTTTGAGGCTATCCCACCATACAGTGTCTGTGGCTTCATCTTGACCACAAAAGCTTCATACTATTTACCATGCAACATATCTCCATATATGTCTTGTTCCTGTCTGTATGTGTTCAAGTCTTGCTGTCTACGATGGACGCTGACAGACATTGCCTGAGTTTATCACAAGCGGCTCACTAGCAGACTTGTCTGTTAATGGTGTAATCTCTTCGTCCTTGCGCATAGCCTGACGCTGTGGATCTGTGAGTTTCACCTCAAAACGTGGTGCTTCTTGGTCATTCTTTTGCTTGGCGTGACCTTGGACAATGTGGTAAAGTAGCATCTCCTCAGCCTCGTCAATGCCTTTTATCAGTTCGTCCAGTTGTTTTTTCTCACTTACTTGACTATTCGCTATAAAACTATTACGAAGTGCCACGTGAGCCTCTTGTAGTGCATATGTATCACCTTGAAAAGCTTGACGACTTGCCCGTAATAATCGACGATAACCACCCAATACTTGCCCTCGCATACTCATGATCACTCGACGATATAACTAAAGTGAAATTGACACAAAAATACCACTCGATTCATTAAAACCTATGAACTGAATTATTGCAATACGATGTCTTAGTTTTCGTTTTACACTATCCCTCGTTTGAATGCCTTTGATCTCCTCCTACTTTGGACTAATCTTATCGATACATTACTACCCTACGCCGTCCCTCCACCACACAACATTTTCAATCTTTCCAGATGGATTCCTTATTATCCTTAGTAGACTATGATTTTCATGTATTACTTGGTGTGACTTTAGTAGCAGGCACAGCAATTTACATGTTACTTTCACTTGTAAAACCTCGTGATACGACACTTATTACTCTTCAGTCATTGAGTCCTAGTACTTCCCCGACTGTGCATTTACCATTGATTGAAAAAGAGATTTTATCCCACGATACACGTCGTTTTCGTTTTGCTTTACCTTCACCAGTTCATATATTAGGCTTACCAGTAGGTCAGCATCTTTCCCTTCGATATACCGAGGAAGAGACGGGAAAAGTAATCATACGATCGTATACACCCGTTACTTCAGACGATACAAAAGGATATGTGGATTTAATTATTAAAGTCTATTTTAAAAATGTTCATCCAAAATTCCCGGATGGAGGGAAAATGAGTCAATATTTAGATCAGATGACTATTGGGCAAACCATTGAAATCTCAGGACCCAAGGGAAAATTAACATATATGGGCAAAGGTGAACTTCATATTAAACATCGAATTCGTGATCCTGTGCCAGAGATTCGAAAGAGTTTAAAGATTGGAATGATTGCTGGTGGAACTGGAATTACACCAATGTTACAAATCATCCGTCGTGCGTTACAAGATCCAGAAGATAAGACCGAGTTCTCGTTACTTCTTGCAAACCAGACACCAGATGATATTTTATGTCGTCAAGAGATTGAAACGATGGCGATAAAACATGAAAAGAACATCAAGTATTGGTATACGGTTGATCGAGCTGACAAGACATGGAAATATGCCACGGGCTTTGTGACGGCTGAAATGATTAAGAAATACTTGCCAGCACCTGCATCGGATGTACAAATTCTCATGTGTGGTCCACCACCAATGCTCAAATTTGCCGTATTACCAGCATTAGAGGAATTGGGATTTACACCGGACCAATACTTTAGCTTCTAAAGTAAGGAAATGGGATAGACCTATGGAGTGAATCGAGCCGAAGATTGATGATGCTATGAGAACATGGAGATACATTGCAAGGCTTGACTTTCTTTTTCTTCTTCGTAAGCTTCGTTTTGCACCTAGTTTGAATACACTACTACTTGACTGATGGATGGTCTTTGTTGAACCGTTCATGCTGTTGTTAGCAACTGTCACTAGTGCTGTTCTTTTTACAGAAACTGTTTTGCTTGGCCTGTAGCTTGAAATGTTTACGTCACTTGTACTGTTCTCAGCGTCTCCACACTTATTCATTCGTCACGTCACGTGTTTACTCTTCACTTTAGCAACCTCAACACATGACCTCACAGGAGTCCAACGTGTTAGTCGTATCCTCATATCCAACAACTGCTTTATGGTAAACATACGCAAATAGTCTCAATCAACGCAAACTTTCCATCTGTTCCTCCATGCATCTCTCGTCGTTTTCTCAACGCGTCAAGCCCTAACGCGTTCTCTTGACTGCAAGTGTCCTTGTCATTGGTAGTTTCTTGCGGTAGCAGCATGTTACATCAAGCAGCACAGCAGAAAAACATACATTGCTTCACCTCTCGCATCAAAATAGTAACACAACAATAGTTTGCGCTTTCGTTCTCTTATATTCGCAACTCCAATAAAAACCAAGTCCCTTACAACAACTTTTGATACCACCATATAGTGTCATGTTCGTCAAGTGCACCGCAAGCATTTCAACGCTGGCAATATTTCTAAACAAACAAACCACACGGAGCTCAAGTCAGCAACGCACAGTGAGATCTGAATGAATGTATAGTATCATACCTCTTAAGACGTCAATGTGTCCTTGTGATAATGAACACCCGTAGACAGACAAAAATTGCAACTCCTTCAAAGCTATTGATATATCAATCGAAACGCAATAATGAGTCAGTTCAATACGATTAGCATGAGCGAAAATACAAAATGAGTGCAATCCACTGTATAACAAGTTCATCCGTGGATACGTACGAGATAAGTGACGTAGTGAGAGAGCCGATATGCCCGTGTTCGACAAATTCAAGCATCGCAGACCAGTCAGCGATCGAAGATAAAACATCGACTTGGTTCTGATATTTCTGCAAGAATAGCAACATATGTCAACACAATAAGTACAGATCATTGTCGTAGACAAACGCAAAGCATTCCTACCTATTTTGACTCAGGTTTAACGATGTCAGCGACGTCAGCTTTGAAATGATCCCCACACCACGGTCACTAATGTTGCCACCGCAAATTGATAGCTCTTGGAGATTGTGCAACCGGAACAGATGCAAAAGTCCGTTATCTGTGATACTACATACACAACAGCCATTCGTATCATTACAATTCAGCAAGTAACATCTCTGTCCACAGACAAATTGGTACATACTTTGCGCTAAACAAATCCAGTTTTTCGAGTTGTGAAAGATACGACACGTTCACTAGCGCTCTATTGGTGATCCCTTTTGCATCCAAGCAAAGCATGCGTAACTCTTTCAGTTTTGAGAGCCCGGACGTTCCATTATCACTAATGTCTGTATCCGCGATGTTGAGTGCTTTCAGTTTTTTTGTACCGTTGCAAATCTCTAACAAACCAGAATCTGTTAGGGAGGTCTCCGCTAAATCCAGTCTCTCAAGATGCTTCAGGCCGCTGATAGACTGGAATCCTCTGTATACAGGAACAAGAAAATTTAGCATGGAAACTTGATCTCACCATAACTCTTGGCATACAAACCTTTTCGCAATCCGGCACGTGCGAAGATCTAATTCTTCTAGCTCGGTCAAGAACTGCAAAGCTGGTGCATCGGACTCGGCAAATGCTGTGTATCCAAGCAGCACAACTCGAAGCTGGGTCCACTCTGTACGAATGGAATGGATCTTGTTGCAGTGTCGTGCATCAAAGTACCTTAAACTTGTCAATCCACATAGTGATGCCATAGATTCATCCGAAATCTCGTGACAGCCACGGATCACAAGAACCTCCAAGCTTTTGATCCAACCAATGTGCTGCATAGTCTTATCACTAGTTGTGTTACAAACTCGTTAATCTTACACTATCTTTTTGACAAAATAAAGCACCTACCTCAATCGGCAATATGCAACGTCAAGCTCCCGCAATGTCAAGAATGACGACGCAAAACTATCAAAAGCGCCATCCGTTAGTTTTCTACATCGTCCAAGACGTAGTTTTTCGAGTTTCGTCATCTTCAACAGGTGGTGAACCCCCTTGTCCGTCAATTTGCAGCAACCAGTCTGCCAATCAATACAATTAGTTATCCATCCATAGTCACATATCCACACACCTACGAATAAATCTTCAGCAATTCTTACCAGCTGTAAGGATTTCAAATGTTCCAACGTGGTAAGTTTTCCAAGACATTTGTCGTCCAAATTGAGACAACCCGACAAGTCAAGTACGGTCAATTTTGTCGAAAGTATCAACATCTCGATCGACTGTCTCAATAGTCCTGAGCATCCTTGAAACAAGGCAACAATAAGTTCTGGTAACTTGACTGTCTGTTGTTTATCTGATCCTAAATGTTGCAAATGAATGCATCCCGAGACATTAATCCGCTTCACTTTCTCCAGCGTCGAGTTCGGTATGTGATCAAACCACGAATCTTGGACATTTTGTTCATTTGCCAAGTTCCATTCAAGTGTTAATACTGGTACAAGAGCATGAAACTGAGCCTTCTCCAAGAGATAATAGTGTTGTAAATATTCCAAGACTTTTGAAGCCATTTCGGGCGGTAAATAGACACTAGTTTCCAGTCCATGTCGTGAATGTATCATGAATAATTGTATACATATACGACGTATAGTTAAATCCAGTAATGAAAGTGGTCTGAATGTTCCTTGTGTCGTCATGTACCAATGGTTTCCTACATAAGGTAGTAGAATACCGGTTTTTGACTTGTCGCCATGCGGTATCATCTGATACTTCTTATCATGCTTCTTTTTCTTGTTCTGATACTGTTTTAATGGATTTCTATTGAGTACAGGCTTGAAAATAAATGGAAATGGAAACGAAACGTAATAATTCATTAAGGATTCACCAGTCGAGACAGAAGAAGATAAGGATAGAGCTGGAACGGGTGCAGATATTTCCAATTGGTTCATATCCACGTTCCTTGTAGAAGCAGAGACGCGTGGGAAGGACGGTATTGGGTCATTATCATCCATTTGCTCGTGACGACAGCACAAAGCACCCATTGTCTTGTATCGTAGATGGAGAAGGAGAGGATGGACCCGGTTAAAAAACCGGTTAAACGGTTTAGTTACTTTACAATCGGTATGCTATATGATAGGTATGTGAGCTTGTACAGAGAGTAATAATAAACATGCAGGTCGTTGAAAGTATCTGTATATTTTTATATACGTAATTTATTCTTACAGTATTGTCGCTACCCGTGTATAGAAAACTAAAACGACTTCAAGAACAAGACCATGGCACCACCATTACCATCATCATTGGCTTATCATTCTTCTCCATTGCAACGTGTAGCCACACCATTTGGTTATGGTTCACTACATGAACCAAATGAAGAATCATCTGTTGTATCGACACCCGAAGAAATCGACTCGAATTCACATCAGGGCTTTGCCCATGTTGAATTTCCATGGGGACATGCTTATGTTCATACGGATCAAGTGGCGACTATACCAGTTTTTACATTCTATGCTCTTTCTAAGACAAAGCCGATAAAGTTCACATTGCCTTTTGCATTGACAAGTTTGGGTCAAGAAATGGTCGACGCAGTACGTTGTCAATTGGATTTAGGACCTAATATTGCGGTCGCATTGGTCCAGACAGACTCAGTGTGCAAACATGAGATCCAACCACATGTAAAGCTTGGAGATTCGACAATTGGAGCGGGTCCAAAACATCCTGTACTTGTATTACAGACTCCTATGGTGCAATTTGATAAGAACAAGTGTTCATTCTATATGATATTACAAGAGAATAATATGCAAGCAGTGCAGATCGCAAAAGGATGTGGCTCGGTAATGGGGAATTGCCAACTAACGTGTGGAATTAAGTACTGGGAAGTAAAGTTAATAAGTGCACGAGGTGGAGATGGTGTGTTTGTGGGTATAGCATCTACGGAATTGGCGCTTAATACGAGCATCTTGAGTCGTGGAATGTTTTGGGGTATTTCGTGTGCTACTGGACACAAATTCCACAATACGATCGAGTACTATGCAGATCCCTGCAAGGACGAAGATGTCGTTGGTATATTACTCGATATGGAGTACGGTCGGCTCACTTTTTACGTGAACGGACGGAATCTTGGAGTTGCGTTTTGCGGTATACGCGCTAAACGGTTGTGTCCTGTTTTCTCACTAACATTTATCGGACAAACTATCAAGCTGCTGCCAACAGCATCACCTCCAATGCCGTAAAAGCACGACTATTGCGTGACAATATTTGATTTATCTACTTTGTTCTACTCTTTGGAACACCAAGCTAATAATTATGAACCAAACAATCTATCAGGTACGAATGCTAGCGACGAGTGGACACTAAATGGTTTTCTCTGTGTTGACGGCCAAAAAACTGTTGTTCATGTAGTGTATACATGTCCATGTATATGGCACTTATTCGCGCTCTATCATGGTCACTCATGTGCAAATGTCTATCCGTTTCTATCTGTTTAGACAACGCTTTACATTGCTTGCAAATGTGATGTGTATGACTGTCAAAGGCATCGCTTTGTCGTTTCTTACTGCACAATTAGAAGAAGCAAAACACGCATTTCGACTTCATGTAGCACTTTTTGATTGTTCATTCGTCTGCTTTAAAGCAATTTATCTTTCGTCGATATGGGTTAACACGTTCCGCAATTAAAAGACTACCTTTGGCCTTTTCCAATCAAGCACACTGCCACGCCTCGGTGCTGAAAACACGTACTCTTAGCAGCATTTGCAGTCGACTTCGCTTAGTTTTTGCCCTTTTTCGTACGCTTCTGGACAGTCATAGTCGCCTTGCTATTAGCCGCCTTTTTCGTAGCGCCGTTCACAGGTGCATTCAGACTCGCATGAACACTAGCCGTCTTCTTCGCAATTTTTCGCTTTGCTTTCGAGTTGGGCTTACGCGTGCCACAGCACAACCCACAAGTCAGCACATACAGAGTCGTTGTGAACAGCCACCACACCAAGCGCAACGCTAAGCGAATTTGAAACAGAACCAGTGGCACTGCCAAAATTATCAGTGCGCCATCAATCACCTTCTGCGCATGAGCACCTACGTGCTCATTCTGTTCCAGGAGGGCAATTGCGTCACTGCGCGCCAGCTTGGCACGACGCAGTGCATCATGCAAGTACAACAACACCTGCTCCTTTGCCTTTGCAGCTTTGTCTTGCACAATTGGCAAGTACTGCTCCACATGCGGGTTCACGGCCATGTGCACATCTGCCAAAATTGGGTCCACCGTCTTGCGTACGTCCGCTAGGATCGGATCCAAAGTAGCCGCCAAGTTCTCCTGGTAGAACTTGCTTGTACTATCACGTGCCGTCTTTTTTGTGTCCTCAATCTTGCTCTGTACGTGCTCTAGCGTACCAGATTGTTCGTTAAACTTCTCTTGAGCAAAGACAACGGACTTTTCCGCTAACTCCAACGCACTGTCATAGTATGACGACAGTAACGCAGCCACACTCAGGTCCTCCGACTTGGTCTTTCCCAGTTTCTGTATAAGTGCTTTATTCTTCTTTTCCACAATCTCTTGACTTTTTTCCAGCTTGTTTGCCCGTTTCGTTTCCTCTGACAACTTGGTCAATGCAGCTTTCAATTCCGACTCCATGTTCGCTACAGTAACTCGTTCCTTGGCAAAACTCTCTTCCAGTTTAGCAATTTCACTCGTATACGAAGAAATAAGTACACTCTCTTCCTGTATCTGAGCCAAAGCAGTCTTCAATTCCGTCTCTAACTTCTCAACGGTCTTTTTCTCATTGGACAAGTCATTTTGAAGCTTTTCCACGTCATTCTTAAGCACTTCAATCTCCTTTTCAAGCTGAAGTACAGCTATTTCATGCTCCTTCACCGTATCCATCAGTAACTTCGATTTCTCGGCGTTCTGTGAATCAATTTGAAGCTGGAACGCTTTGTTCGATTGCTCTAGATCGCTAATCTTTGACTCCATAGAAGTGACAATCGATGGATCCACACATGTCGTATCTTTCACTGCTGAAGACGATGCTGTCGTATACATAGACACAGCTAAAGCCGCAGCAAATAGTGTCCAGCGGGTCACACGCATGGGGGAAAACAAATGGGGAGACGGACGTGGCTTGAAATTGAGATATGAGCTTTTGGTTCAACCGTACAAAAGACAAATAAAGATGATTGGAAGATATATGCAATAGATTTTAACCAATGGAATTGATAGAATATGGTCAACAAGACGAGTAGTCAAGCTCACTGTTTTATGCCGCTTTCGTCTGTATGTTAACGAGTGGACAAAAAGTATCGTCATTTGTTCATATACTGTAAGTATACCGATAATATACACAAGAGCTTTCATGCGTTTTCAATGGTTTAGCTAGATAAAGTGGATGGATATATGGATTAATGAAGGAATACCACTCACTTAGCTTCCTTCAACATCTTAAGAAACTTCATGTACGTCAACAGAACTAGCAACGCTGTGGATCCTAGACAAATATCACACTTTTTCTCAGCTCGGACTTCATCGATGCTACAAAGCTGCCAACAATATGTTGGTATACATGAGTTAAAATCATGTCAGTGGTAGTAGACAAGAAGTAGCATCAAGCTACTCAATAGTACGTTGTACCCCTCGAGTATGTGGCGCCATCACTTACACACATGATCAGTTTTCACCTGAAATAGCTTTGCGCGCCTGTAGCATCAAAAACCACACATCTTTGTGAAACAGTGTTCTTGTGTGTATGAGAGTATTCACTCACCTCTGCAGTGCAAGGTTATCCTCTCCGAAATTCCATATTACTGCATGTTTGTGTGTCATGCAAACCTGTTAGCGATATAAACGTTCTGCCATTGAGCGATAACGTTACCACAGACTTTCTCAACGACACGGGACCAGGCTTTCTAGAGCTAAGCGAAGGAGGTGGTATGATGTACAGGTAGTCAGTCTCACTCAAAGTGCGCTTCAATGGGTCGTAACGTGCGTTGGAATACTCCACTCCTGTAACCTTTATTTCGCCATTTTACTTTAACGTGTAAGAGCAACGAGTTACCACTCTGTTTCTATAGTGCCGAGCCAGCTATTAGCTGCATATTGTTAAGAATAGCCTTATGTTTCTTAGGTAGCAAAGCAGACTGTCTCACCTTGTTGCGCTCTACTTCCTTCATCTTGTCTTGTGTGAGCAAAAATGTTGCTACAACTCGGAAGCGATCGTTGTCTGTCAAGTCACATATTTCATCACTTGGTATATAATCTTATTGCGTACTATCTAGCGTAGAGTTGCATTATATAAGAAAGTTACAGACGTCCTAATACTTGCACAAGTGCTCATAACTAAGTGACTTGGAATACAGAATGATGGTCGGTCGCTTCAACATGTACATAGTTGTACACAATTTATGAGGTGGTATACACTAAGGTTACCTTTTTTGAGGGTACGCTCGAGTCGTTTTTGGCGGGAATGGTGTTTGTGGTTTTGCCATTAAACAAGTGCTTAATAAAAGGAAGAGCTACATTCACGACGCAATGCAAAACGTGAGTATTAATCGGCGGCGTGAGCACATTCCTCAGCACAAATTGTCAATATTGTCATTATACAATAAAGCACCACTGGTTGAAGTATCTTTGGAGCAGTTTGAGGAGTTTGCGATTGACCGATTGCACGTGCTAAAGGCGGTGGAGAACTACCGACTGCGCAGTGTGCAGATGAAGGAGCGTGAAGGTCGATTAGAAAAGACATTGAACCAACACATGCCACTACGAGCGACTTCCTTGAGACGGACTGGACAGGCAGAGGATGATACAACCAAGGATGTGCTATCACATTTCTTTCTGCGCATGGCTTTCTGTCAGACAGAAGAGCTGCGACGCTGGTTCTTGACGCAAGAAAGCACGTTATTTCGGTAAGAAATTACTTGAAATTGCTAGTAGCTAGAGATAGAGCCTTCTGTCGATTCATATGACTGAGTTTTGTCGCAGTTACCGCCTGGACAAAATGACGAGAGAGGAGAAAATTCTTTTTATGAAGCAGAACGGCCTGTCATACGAAGAGGTAAATATGCATACGATGCTGGATGACAGAGGAATTGTCTGATGCTCGTGAGGATGGGTTAATATGGTGCAGACGACGACAAAAGAGGTTGAAGCACGACTGAGTAGGTTAAAGGCTGTGCGAGACGCAAACGACACGAAGGTCCGGGGTCAGCCATTGCCGTCATACTTTAAGGTGCCTTTCACAGAGGCACTGGACCTAGTCGGTAGTCGACGAGTGTACATCGAAGCCGGGACGGCGTATGTGCCTTTTGAACACGTCGTATCGATCCTGTTTGCTGCTTTTCGTGCCAATGTACGTTTGGTATTGCTGGCAATCGGGAGGTAGTTGTATCTTACTTGTTTGTGCACTGTAGCTATCAAAGCAACTATCGGGAGCTTTTCGCAAATACAATCGCTCATTGATAAGTAAAGACGAACGCCTCGCTCCAGTGTTGTCAAATTTGGCGAAACACCACATCGATGCCGACTACTCGTCTGCCCCTGTCCTTGGTTCGGAAAATGCGATAAGACTAGATATGATTGATGGTCTTGCATCAACGTCGATGCCTCTATGCATGCGTTCACTTCACAAAGGACTCAAGCTCAACCACCACTTGAAGTTTGCAGGGCGACAGCAGTATGGGCTTTTCCTTAAAGGCATTGGTCTTCAACTCGATGATGCTATTGCATACTGGAAGCAAGAGTTCTGCAAGAAAATGTCTGTGGATGACTTTAACAAAAAGTACGCTTACAATATCCGTCACAATTACGGCATGGAAGGGAAGCGCAAGGACTATGCGCCTTCTAACTGTATGCGCATTATCACCGGCGATCCACCAAAAAACGGTGAGTATCATGGTTGTCCATTTCGTCATTTCGAGCAAGAGCATCTGCGATCGGCGTTACAAGGAGTGCCGGAAGGAGACAAGCAAGAGATCTTGTCACTTGCAGAGAATCGTCATTATCAGATTGCCTGCAAAAAGTACTTCGAAGCTACTCACCCTTCTAGTGATCCTGACATCCTCATCAATCATCCTAATGGGTATTTTGAAGAAAGTCGTAAGTATTATGCTGCAAAGGTGAAGAAGTCACAGTCATCGCCACCACTTAAAACATAATCTTGATACAATTGCATTCTGCTATCTGTTGGATGGATGTACAGTAATCCTATATAACCATTTCCTGCTGTAAAGCAGTTGACGGTCCCATCGGTATCACTACCGGTACTGTTAAACCGCCAAGTAGCTAGTAGCTACCTTGATACCGGTCGTCATGTTCCTAAACACTACTTCAAAGCATATCCGTATAATGTTTTCTCATTATTACAAAGGATGTTCCGCGGACTCCAGGGGACTTCAGCTCGCATCGCTTATAGCAATCTTTTCTTACAAACATCTCATGTAAATACTCATAACATTCGTGACAGTACATTGCGCTTCTTGTCTCGTCAGCAACAGCCAAAATTGTTTTTGCTCCGTCAAACGAGTCGTCATGATGTTGTTTTGACTGCTAGTATGGGACTCGTATCCGGCGGTATTCTCGTCACTTCAGTGCTCCATCAGCACAAGGAAGATACGTACGGTAAAGATATTATTACAAGTTTGTATGAAGATGGAACTGCCATGTTTTACCGTGGAAATGGACGTCAGTTTGATAAACCGGTAGAGCACCATATAACGCAGTATTTGGACGAAATAGGGTCAAGACCATCTATTTATCAATCTATTAACGTGCCTTTTATTTATGATACGATGTAGTGGTATGACGATACAAACAAGAAGGTCATTGCATTATTGATTGCAGCTAATACAATGGTCTTTGGACTCTGGCGTGTATCATTTCGCAATATTCGATTGCATCAATTTATGTGGAGACATTTTGCCAGTTCATACGACAGTGTCGTGTTTGGTAAACGGTTTTATACTTTATTGACCTCATCTTTTAGTCATATGACGTTTCCACACTTTGGTATCAATATGTTTATGTTGTGGGAATTTGGACCGCATTTAATAGCACCAGGTAACAACCATAAAAGCTCGACGGCTTACTACAATCAAATCATTGCAAACTCAAAGTTAGCACCATTTGTCTTGAGGGACAAGGAGTATACGTTTCGTCGTGGACCGGAATTATTCTCGATGGAAAAGTTTATGGCATTCTATTTAACGTCTGCAGTAATATCGTCGGCGCTAAGTGCTTTCATATCAAAGCTACGACGAAATGGAGGAGGTACTTTGAATTATAATGTGATGCAAAATACGATGTCGGACGGAGCTACAATTGATCTCTGATGCATAGTGGATGTTGTTTGTCTTGCGGTTGTGTGCAATAGTATTCTCCATTGGTGCAAGCGGTGCAGTTTCGGCAGTCTTTACTGTATCATGTCTTATGTTTCCTGATGAACGGGTACGTTGCATCTTTTGTCTGCTACAACTTGCCTTGTCTCTAATATTACATTTAATGCCTGTTTTCACCCCAGCTTCTACTCTACGGACTCTTTGAGATGACGTCGACACAAATGCTGCAGTTGTACACTGCGCTCAATCTCGTTGGCGCCGTGTTCCAGCGCCATCTGCGTATTGACTGTGTAGGTCACCTGGGCGGCCAAAGCGCAGGTTTTGCTTTCTACCAAGCTCCATTTCGCAACGAGGACGAAACACAATGACGAAGCTTATTCCAATCGATGTCCTACAGACTCCAATGTCAGCGACATCTTCAATAACAAGTAAGCTACACGCAAATGCTATTTTCTCTTCTAGACCTGATAAACGCAGACGCAGTGCAATAAAACACTAACACACATCTAACAACATCATATTACTCCTTTAGCTAACCCTCAAGTATGAAAGCAGCCACGCCAATCAAATCTTAATGAAGCAAGACCTAGTAGAAGCCAAGACTTGTCATTATTAAAGTCCTTAACGTCGTCAAGAACTCAACGTTGGACAAATGCAGTAACAGAAAGTCCTGAGTAACGACCCACAATGGATAAACGAAATGTCATGTTAGGGCTTTAATCCTGCTTGCTCCCTCATCGAAACTGCTGAAGGATCATGCTGTCACTTCGCCCTGTGATCATCCATTCCACCTTAGTGCTGCATAATGCTGCACCAATATGTCCTGCAGAGTTTGGAGCCGGCTGGGGTTTTGTCCGAGTCGTCTTCAGAAAGTCACGGAAAACTTTGGGTAGTTGCGAATATTTTGTATAATATAGTATCCTTTCCTTTAATACCTTCGCGTTTATAACTTGTTTGCCTTTAGTACGTAGCAATTGTGTAACTTTAGAGACTAGCTGCTTGGTATTAGTAGGTACTGTGAGAACCTTCCTGCAATTCTTTCTTCTTCCACTTTGTTGGTTTTTCCAGTATCAGTCGTACGAAAAGATGTTGCTCTGTTTTCACCAGGCTTATCCGGTTTAGATAAAGCACTTGTCGAGAAATCTACAGACTTGGATTCTTTGATCGGAACCACTAAGTTCCAATAGCATGACGGCAAACAGGAGCACGATGTAAAAGTACATGGATGGCAGGCAGAAAAAGAAAATATGGGAGTACTAATGGAAGCTTTGGGCTTACGACGAATGTTTTGGAATGAATGATTTAGCTACAGCAAGATGGCACGGCTAGAAATACAATCAACGACGAGCTGGCGAAGATTATGCAGGGATCTTAATGTCGTAACGTAATTCAGGTTATCTTCGACAAAGCCGTATTGTGAGAATTGGAAAAGGTTGGGTCTGTCTTAACATTGAGTGTATCATCACGAATTTGTGCGTGCAGCAGCGCATTAACATTGTCGTAGACAGGATTGTAAAAATCGGTTCTAGAGTTATCGTTTCATTGAAACAGACCTTATCCTCCTGATGTGCTGTAGTGTTCATGTGGATTCAACCTTGAGTCTCCATAGAGCCGAAGATATCCTCTATATAATAAGCAAACCTTGAAATGCACTTTGATTTTTTCCTGCAGATCTATGGGAGTTGACAAGTCCTGCACGGGTATCGTGCAGAACAAGACTCAAATTCAACAAGAAGAAGGCGTGTATGTATGGTATTAAGATTTACAATGGCTATTCTGCCTCATGACTCACTAGTCAGACTTGGTTATTTTGGTTCATCTTTGCCAAAGGGGGTTTTACTAAACGTAACAAGCTCCTACTCGACAGCTATCATATCAGCTTGAAACAAGACTTGACCAACGATATTTTTTTGCTTATAGCCTCACGTTGTCGTCATGACGCAGCAGAAAACATCAAGCCACAAACATGGATTTGCTTGCGTATCATTTTCACGTTGCTTCGGTGGAATCGCTTAACTGTGGCTGCAATGATGCCGACGATTTACAAGCACGTTCAAGCACGTGTCCGTCATGGAGAAGAAGTGAAAAGCCAGAAATGTATGATATCAGCCTTGTCGCGGCGGAGTAACTTGCATAGACTGAAAAATCCGACGAGAAGATAACTTGCACCTTCATACAGAGCAAAAATTGGCTCTTACACATTCCTAGAAATAGTCGACAGCTCGTCGTTGATTCTATTCCTAGCCCTGCTGTCTCGCTGTTGCTAAATCATTCATTCCAAAACATTCATCGTAAGCCCAAAGCTTCCACTACTACTCCCACATTTCTTGTTCTGCCTGTAAGAATGTCATCTGCGTACTCTTACATCGTGCTCCTGTTTGCCGTCATGGTATTGGAAGTTAGTGGTGCGTTCCCCACGATCAAAGAATCCAAGTCTGTAGATTTCCGACAACTGATTTATCTGAACCGGATGAGCCTGGTGAAAACAGAGCAACATATCTTCGTACGACTGATGCAGAAACGACCGACCAAGAGAAGAACGAAGAAAGAGTCGGATCGTTCGCACATGTTCATGGAGCTACAAGTTTCACGGGCAACTTTAATGTAAAGCAAATCATAAATATTCTGATGCACATACCTTCAAAGAGGCAAAAAGCTGCTATGAGAGCATTTTTCGGACTGTTCTTTCAAAGGGGACGTACTAACAAAAACACAAGGCGACGACTTCAAGTACTGGAGGTTACACCTGTCGGGATGACGACTTCAAGTACTGAGTTCAAACCTTTCGACGCAGAATTGGAGAAGTCGTTTCAAAACCTCAAGGATTTAAATCCAATTCTACTTCCTAATCAAGTGCAATATTGGGTAAGCAAAAAGGTTACACAAGCAGAACTTGAAACAAGACTTGTGAAGAGCAACATGGAAGAGAATGTGAAACAAACGATACTTGCCGCCTACCCTTCGTATATAAAGGTTCCGTAAGCAAGGATTTTGAGCAAGGAAGAACAAAGTACGCCCAATTGGACATGATGTGCAACGAGAATGCGACGCCATTGCGTTCGCACTTGTGTGTACTTGGGCAACACTAACAAGCCAGCTACAACCACAAGGGCAGCTTTAATCTCGTAGTCCGTAGCTGACAGAAGAAGTGACTATACTCTAGAAATGCTTCCTACCAAGTAACAATGTACTAGCTCCATAATCATTCTTCCACCTCTCACCGTAATTGATAACCACATTGCTCAACAACCTAGCATCTCTTTATGTGACTATCCCAGTCCCGCCGTCTGGCTCCCGGTGGCTTGGAATTCAAAAATCAATTGGGTCAACTAGACAGTCAGTACTGAAACAAAAGTGCATTGATAAGCGTCAATCACCTCATGCTGTCTCTTCATTTAGATCCAAACCGGTTGTATTGTACTACTGCATGCTCTTGCAATCGGCAGCCTTTTTGTCCTTTCGATTTGAATGATCGGTTGACATCAAAAGCTTGCAGGATACTAAAATGGGATGCTAATGAATCTTCATCACCCTCGTAATAGCTGACACGACAAAGTGCACGGCTTGACATTAGTTCAAGAATGAAACAAATCATGACAAAGCGCATGTATCCGCCTAATCTGTACGTACATAATAAGCTGAATATTGGCACCAAGAAAGTTCATTTTGTTCACAAAACTGTTCACTTCGGCTTTTATCCATGGCCGCGTTCTGGCATGATATTGATACGGTGTGACGTGTACGAATAATCTTAGCCGCCTGAAAATGACCACAAAAAAGTAATATCGCACGCATATCAGTTTTGCTGTAGTTTGCAGCAAAAGTGTGTCAGTCGTAGCACTCAAGAATCATACTCGTATCGCGAAAGCACAGATAGAGCAAGCTCTTCCGTAGGCAATGCGCCTTCCAGTAAACCGTTGCCAGAGTCCAGCCAATGAATCGAGTTAACCTGATTATAACACGTCCAAACATAATGAGACCGTCTCTTCTACACAGTTACATCAAAAGGAGGAACAAACAAGACGACGACTTACACCTGAGAAAAACTGTCGCGTGCTTGCGAACATAGAACCCTGCCGAATTTGACCGCTGTTCGAGCGTTTCTTGTTGAACGAGTATCTCACGAGCTCTGTCACAAGTTGATTCAAAACAATACCGCCTTTGCTGAAACCTATGAGATGAATTGGGAGAGCCGTCGACACATTGACTATTTTTAGCATCAACAATGCCACTTGTCAGCAGTAACTTCGAGCAGCAAACAAAGAATAGGGCAATGGACCTCCTTGTTGTCTTAATGTCGTCTGGGTATTCTGAATCAGAGACACCAAATGCTTGGTTGCAAAAGCTGTCGGGTCATCTGTAGCACACATGGACAGCAAAATTAATATAATAACAAACTGTTCTGATCTCACACTTTTGACAACGAAACATTCGAAAGGAAGCACTTACACTTTGTTGCTGCTCCATACTCATCGGTAGTTACAAAATTATCAAAACTACTATATGCTCCATGTTTAAAGCAATTAGGTCTTACAATCCACACGTTGCAAAAATCTCCAAACTTTTCACTTAGCAATTTTGCCACCTTCTCATAAGAGTAGTCACTATACTCAGCAAAAGGTCCTGATTCCCTAATCATAGCAAATGTACATACTAAAAACACAATCATTCGTCCAAGAAAACCCATGGATACCAACTATATTACGTACATAATAGCTTGAAAGTTTTGAACGTCCCCAGGGAAGAAAATGACATTTGAATGCCCCCCGATATTCTTTGGTACTGAAAGATACAGCTCATTTCCTCTATAATGTGTCATCAAACAACAACAACAACCATAAGATGCAGTCACTATTCCTTTTCGATCACGTTTCCATCTCTCTTGCATGATTTTACCTGTCAAGCAAACCACGACTACGTAAGCGGAAGAAAGAGCGTTCCAAGTCACTCTTTTGAGTACTGGAAGGGACTTGTGGAATCTCATTCTGGTACGTGATCCCTAATACTGACGCCATGTAACTCCACATTGACAAGGAATTTCTGGAATGGTGACAAGGTCGGACTAGTTTTAGTAAGACCAAGTATAATAAATCAATTTGAAGAATAGATGCGACCGGGAAAACGGAGTAACCTTGTGTAAACTAATACTGGAAGGGCATTTGTACTGGTAAACAAGGGTACATGAAACAGTCACTCAATATTGGCTGAAAAGTATATTGCAATAAGGTGAGTTAAGTACACTGACAGAATACCGATATCATCGTGTATGTATTGAGTAGGCAAAAGAAATATCAGTATAGACAGTGATGAGTCCTTAAACTCGGCTGTGATGCTGAAAGTCACGATATAAATACCGCCTACCTCCATGCTGCATTGAACATGGAGCTGTATCTGGAAGGGGTCGAGGGTTATCCTTGTAATAAAGAGTAACACATTTACATCATCGATAAGGCCTCGTACGGTCTACGCCAGTCTGGGCGTGAGTAAAATACTGAACACGGGACTGGCGAGCCAAGTACTGTTGCGGTTAGTTCCAATTTACCTAAGAGGTAAACAAGTTGTTTGTGAGTTTGTTGTAGTGCTGTTTTTGATACTTATCAATGTAAATAAATGATCATGAAGATACTAAATTGTTTCATTGGTAGGAAGCTTTTTTAGGGTATGGTATCTTCTTCTGCTAGCTACAGTGATTAAAGCAGCCCTGTGGCTGTAGTTGACTTGTTAGTGCTGCCAAAGCACACACAAGTGCGAAAGCAATGGCTTCTAGCTGCACATTATGTCCAATACGGGGTCATCGAATCATTAGTCTTGCCTTAGTTTTTGCGTTTTTCCTTGCTTAAGCCTTTCTATTTTAAATGCATAGACCTTAAGGCGACCACACTCGGCAACTATTCGTTGAGCTTCATCTCATGGATATTGCTGGCAGCAAGTCTCATTCCAATATCATCTGGCGACAGCCTTACAAGCTACCATTCCTGCATTCGAGGTAAGATCCCATCGTTAGTTGATACCTTAACGGGAACGTCTCGTTCAGAGTCATCTTGACAGGTTTGGACTCAGCTCGACTTGAAGTCGTCGCCTTGTCTTTCTTAGTACGTCCCCTTTGAAAGAACAGTCTGAAAAATGCTATCATAGCAGCTTCTTGCCTCTTTGAAGATGTGTGCATTCGAATATTTATGATTTGCTTTACATTAAATTTGCCCGTGAGTCCTGGCTCCATGACATGTGCGAGTCTTTCTTCGTTCTTGTAACGAGGTGTATTATACGTACACACCTGCCACACCAATGTGGTGTGGCTGTACCTTGGGTACAGAAGTAGGTGATGTGCCTGTACCTGAAGTACGAAGGGTCACATCGTGGCAGAAAGCCACGTGGTCACTATATTTATTTAAAGCATAGTGACTATGCATGTTTGCATAATAATAACAGGCTATAGAGCCAGTAAATAGTGACTAGCACTAAGTTTAAGATAGGTGCTTCTATATTTAGTGTAAGAAGATAAACATAAATTTCAATCAGTTTCAAACCTGCTCTATAAGCATCACTGCTTGAGCGTACTATCCCTCCTGAAGAGTTAAGAATCTTTGATAGTAATCTCTTTGAGACGTGGTTGTAACAACTGATCGACACAAGCTTACGAGCTAGCTTAGGAGACTTAAGCACCCTAGACATAGAAGCTCTATGAGCTTGTCTTCCTCTGCACATAGTGCATCTGCACATAGTGCATAAGTAGCGTGGCTACAGTAGCTCGGCTACAGTTCTTCTCTTGGTTGGTCGTTTATGCATCAGTCGTACGAAGATATGTTGCTCTGTTTTCACCAGGCTCATCCGGTTCAGATAAATCAGTTGTCGAGAAATCTACAGACTTGGATTCTTTGATCGTGGGGAACGCACCACTAACTTCCAATACCATGACGGCAAACAGGAGCACGATGTAAGAGTACGCAGATGACATTCTTACAGGCAGAACAAGAAATGTGGGAGTAGTAGTGGAAGCTTTGGGCTTACGATGAATGTTTTGGAATGAATGATTTAGCTACAGCGAGACAGCAGGGCTAGGAATAGAATCAACGACGAGCTGTCGACTATTTCTAGGGATGTGTAAGAGCCAATTTTTGCTCTGTACGGTAGGTGCTAACGATCGCAATTCGTACTATGTATATTGCTCTATGTATTTATGTGTACGATTTACGCGAGCTGTCTTGCCTCCGAAGTGGCTCAGCTTCCGCATGCGTCAAGTTATATCTCCTTCTTTACATTTATCTTTACTTTCCCCAGTCTAATAAGCGGCGCGCTGGAGGCCGTCCAGACTGCACAATCCTGTGTACATTAACGAAGGAGGTACAGGTATGGGGCCAGTCGACGGCGGTGTCCAGCGTAATTTCTTGCTTGATCCCTTTATTGTCTATCTTGTCAACAGGGTTGAAGGAGGATCTGTAGCCGAGCTACTGCATCCAAGCTGCTTATGCACTACGTGCAGAAGAAGACAAGCTCAAAAAGCTGATACGTTTTAGGAATCTTAACCCTCCCAAGGCTAGCTATGCCTTTTGGTTGTAAGCAACCACGTCTCCAAGAGACCAGTATCGAAGATACAGTTAATTATAAAGGAATAGAACCCCTCTAGCAACTAATGCTATTCAGAGCAGGTTTGAGACTGATTTATTTAATGGTTTAATTTCTAGCACTAAATATTGAAGCAACTACTCTATACTTAGTGCTAGTCACTGTTTACTGGCTCTGTAGCCGATTGTTATTATGCAAGCATGTATAGTCACTATACTCAACTTATAGGTGACCACGTGGCTCTCTGCCACGATGCGACCCTTCGTACCTTAGTTACGGTCAAATCGACCCTACTATTGTACCCAAGGTACAGCCACACCACATTGGTGTGGCAGGTGTGTATGTAAAACACACACCTTTGTGTAACCCCGTTACACCCTCTCCCACCAACCCGTGGGACCCGAAGTACCCACGATTTTTTGAACTTATTGGGAGTCATCGATATTTATTTTCTTCCTATTTTGCTTGCCTCGCAATAAGTGCCTCGCACTTGTGAACAAAGCTTTAGTGTTCTGACACTCGATCTTTGAGCACCTGTGCTTTGCACTCACGCTTTATAAGCATCCTAGTGCTACGACACTTTCTTCTTGGGCATACAGTGCATTGCACTCACTCTAAAGCATTCAGTGTTACGACACTTACTTATAAGCATTATGTGCCTAGCACTTAGTGAAAAACCCATTAGTGCTTACGAATACTTGTTTTTTTAGCATTACAGCATTCCAAAAACACTTGCTTTTAAGCATTACAGTGTTCACAACTCTTTCTTTTAAACACTTGTCCCTAGTGCGCTTGTTGCATCATGGATGCCGCAATACGTCGAGACATCTTTGGGGACGATGACAGCGACGTTGTCTCCAGGGGTAGCAGCCCCGAGTCTCCGTTGGGTCATTGAACCCACGATCACCACGCTCACCGATCGATGGACACCGATCCCGTTCGGTGCCTTCTCCCAAGGAAAGAAACTGCGTTGCGCCAAGCGCCACCGCTTCCCTCGCGAGAGGGTGTCGACGAAGAGGTATCTAACCCTCTTGATGCTGCACAGCGTCGTCAAATTGATGACGAGGCCCGAGCGGCCGCCTTGGCACGGCCCAAAAAACCTTTTTACGACGTGATTATGGGTTCGTTCCCCGGGGCCCCAAAACGAGGAAGCTCGACGAGCTGCATCGCAATCATTGCGTACCTATGTCATTGGGTCTCAGGTCCGCCCTGCTTGCGAGGTTGCGGATCGTGCCGCACGTCGTAAGTAGCCTCTCACTCCACAGGAGTTTACGATGAAATTGTATCAGGAACGACTGCCACGACGGTTACGTGGATTGCCTGTGCATCCACTGAACGACATACCAGTGGTGCTCGCACCAGGTAAGACATCTGTGTAAGATGATCACCAGCTCACCCGTTGGATAGAACGAGCGTGTAAGCTCTCAAGTCTTTCGGACTTGCGCTTATGCGCTAAGAACAAGACGTTTGGTTAGTTAATTTTGCGGAGCTCAAAGCAAAGCGCAAATTATATTCCACATACAAGTCAAGGACTTGTGTGGGTAGAGCTTTTGAAGCTATTACCCGTACCTCTCACACAAGTTGTGTATGGGCACCGAATTCTTCAGAAGGTCAGAGGCGAAGCCGTCCTACTGGCCTTGCTTCCTTAGCACCGCGGTTAGCCTGTCACAGACCCAATAGCAAGGGTTTCCGGAGCAGCTCCTTATCCTTAGCACTAAGGGCGTGGAATACTTCATCGCCCAGGGCGAAGAAGAGGTTAACAAGCGTATTCATATGCTTGAAAAATATAATAACGCTTTAGTCGAGCATGTAAAAGCACCGATACCTTCTTCTGCGCCTCCGCCCATGGAGGCTATGGCACAAGAAGTGGCCCACATACCAAAACTCATTCAAATGGAGGTCGATAAATTTGACGGCAAAGAAGGTGACAACCTTATGCTATATTTCTGACAGGCTGAGTCGACTATGTGTATAGCTGACATCACCAATGAACCGTACCGTGTGGGCTTTGCCCCGGGTAAACTGGGTGGATCAGCCAAGCAATGGGCGTTCACATGCGGTGCATCACTGCAAGATGTATTCTCAACATGGGCCGATGTGAAAGTTCAGATGACCCGGTAGTATGCACCGCCAAACCAAGCACACGAAATTGGTCGCGATTTTTGGCGTGTCGCCAAGGCAAGCGTGACCTTGCAGAATATGTGCAAGAGTTGAGAACTCTCATTGCTACCATGGTCATAGACCCTATGCCTGAAGCAGTGGCCGTCACGGTCTTTATGTAGGGCCTCCTAGTTGACGTTTCCAGAACGGAAGTCTTCCGGGAAATTCCTTCTTCAGTCGAGGAAGCTGTTGGAGTGGCATGGAATGCCGAGACCAACTTTGAGGCCGCTAGGCCTACCCCTTATAACTACTCGTCTGATGGGTCTGTTCCTATGGACTGTAGTCAAGTGGAGGATGAAGAAGC